CGGTGGGCTCAGAGAGGGGCTCTGCGCTGCTGTCAGGAATAGATCTCCTCCTCTGTTGCTCGTTTTCCTCTGTCTGTTTGTTTCCTCTCAAACTCGGGGGATTCTGCTAACCCGATTTCTTTGACTGTTTTGGTTTTATTGAATTTTTTCCAACTCTTTTTTTCACCTTAAATCCCCTAACCATCATTCATTTGTTCATCTGTTTGAGTTTCTTCTTCTTGCTTTTCCTTCTCAACATCCTCTTTTTTGAATGGAGGACATTGCACGAGTATTTCAATATTAACCAGGCCATGTGCCTCTTGCATGTGTTAGTGCGTGTGGAATTGTGTGAATGACACAGTTCTGTAGAGTGTATCGTGCCAATAGTAGATAAAATATGAATGATTGTGCTCTCTCTCACAGTGTGCACAGCGTGCAGTCAGCGGCACGCACCAGCCCTTCACCAATGCCTAGAGGGCATTATCACCATGGCAACCATACTTTTCACACCCCTCTCCGTATACAGTGTGTGTTTGTGTGTTGCTCCACATTATTAGTTTACCCTCGGCTTAAAGGTGCCCTTGGAGGCTGCCCTACATGAAGATTGTCACCGTTTCCCCTCACTAATATCTCACTGTCCTCCTCACAGTGAATACATTCTGCATGAGTTATTTCCTCTTCTCTGTTTACTCAACGTTTCTGGTGTTTCTATTTTGGGATGAGCAGCTTCAAAGGAGCCTCATTGCAGCATCCTCCTCTTGGTTGACTCCAGCAGCAGTCGTGGCCTGAGGAATCGGTCAGACTGACTGCTGTAAATACAAATAATCAGCATTTAAGATCAGATGAGATAAACCTCGTATTGATCCCTGTAGAGAAATGCAGGTGTGATAGCAGCAACGGGAACAAGGGTGAAACACAAGATAGGGCAGATGTGAGTTCACACAAGGATAATGAAAACAAGTGAGACAAAGAAATGTAAGAATTAAACCTAAAATATGTCAAAGAAAGTGACTGTATAAGTGTAAAATAAATGGTGTTGACATATTTACAGATATGTATAAGTAAGGGCGTTAAATACAACAGCAAGTTTTAAACGAATGACTTATGTACAGAAATGTCCAAATAAAGTCAAAACATTTTTTGAAGACCATTATCGTTTCATTTGAACAATCAAAGTCAACTGAAAATGAATTTTTGATTTATTAGTTTAGCAATTACTTAGGACCGTGGGAAGTTCTGATGGGCAACTTCACTGTTCTGACATTTCATGAAACAATTGATTCATTATAAATCAATGACCATTGCTTTATACTTCCGTTGACTATGGCTTGAAGAGACTGGTCTTGTGGGATTTTAAAAGTCTGTTATTTCAAGTCAGCATTTTCCTCCTGTAGACAAATTCAATAAATACATTGTTAAAATATATAGATAAATATAAATCATTAAGTAAAAAAAAACGGTCATAGTTATAGATTGATCTTGTTAAAAATCATATTCTTTTTTATTTCTTATTAAAAAGGCTATTCGTATTTAGATTGCGAGAGAATGAGCATATACGCTGAGCATGGACAAAAACTGTAAGGTGAAGTATTCCAAATATTCAATTAAAAACACTTAGAATATAATTTCATTGAACAATTAAAACACTTTGTACTATACACTATGTAAGGACTAAAGTAAAAATGTCCTGTGCTCAGTGAACACAGTAGCATACAAAATGGATTCCAGGATACATACAGACGACGCCATAGCCCTCACCCTCCACACTGCCCTCTCACACCTGGACCCGAAGAACAGGAACACATATGTTAGAATGCTGTTCATTGACTACAGTTCAGCATTCAATACCATTGTGCCCTCCAAGCTGGCCATCAAGCTCAGAGACCTCGGGCTCAACAGCGCCCTCTGTGACTGGATCCTGAACTTCCTGACGGGCAGACCCCAGGCAGTGCGGGTGGGAAACATCACACCCTCCACCCTGATTCTCAACACCGGTGCCCCTCAAGGCTGCGTGCTCAGCCCTCTCCTCTACTCCCTGTTCACCCACGACTGCGTGGCCACACACAGCTCCAACACCATCGTGAAGTTTGCTGATGACACGACCGTCATCGGCCAGATCACAGACGATGACGAGACGGCGTACAGAGAGGAGGTCGAAAACCTGACATCTTGGTGCCAGGATAACAACCTCCATCTCAACATCAGCAAAACAAAGAAGCTGATTGTGGATTACAGAAAGCAGCAGGGAGAGGGACACGCCCCCATCGCCATCAATGGGACTACGGTGGAGAGAGTCAGCAGCTTCAGGTTCCTTGGGGGACCTGGGACATCACTGAGGACCTGACATGGACTCATCACACCACCACCATCACCAAGAAAGCTCGACAGCGGCTCTTCTTTCTCCGCAGGTTGAGGAGGTTCAAAATGGATTCCAGGATACTCTGCAACTTCTACAGGTGCACGATAGAGAGTATCCTGACTGGCAGCATGATGGCCTGGTACGGCAGCTGCACCGACCTCGATCGTAAGGCTTTACAGAGGGTGGTGAAAACTGCACAGCACATCACCAGGACGGCAGCTGCCATCCATGGAGGACCTTTACTCCCAGCGGCTCAGGAAGAAATCACTACGGATTATCAAAGACCCCCATCACCCCAGCCACAAACTGTTCTTTCTGTTGCCGTCTGGCAGACGTTACCGCAGCATCCTGGCAAGGACAAGAAGATTCGGAGACAGTTTCTTCCCGCGGGCAGTGAGACTGTTAAAAAATTGAACTGTTGAAACAACTTCAAAACATTCATCTGCTACTCAGTATTATGTATCTAATACCTAATATATATATATCATTCCAATAACTTGTATATAGACTTGTACTGCACTATTCCACATCATCACTTTATTTTATAACTATTTTTCTTTTTGTATTACTCTTGCTCTTATTGTTATTATGTTATTATGTTGCATTGTTGGAGAAGCCTGTGACATAAGATTTTCAACTACATGTACATAATTACTCTGTAGCTATGTCAGATTGACAATAAAGAACCTTGAACCTTGAACCTTGAATTATATAATCATGAAAATAATGTGTAAATATGGGGAAATCCAAAGCCAGCACAATAAGAGGTACTGTAGAGGTGTCCACGGCAACCCATCGGAGCTGACAGACTGGGGAAATGCTAACAGCACCGGCGTCTGTATCACAGCCATCTTGTTAGGAAGTGGAGCCGCTCGGCCTGAAATAATCACAGACACACTGTCAGGGGATATCAGGGAACAAAGCAATATGCACTCTGTATATGCACTCTGTTATGAAACTATAATAACATCTCTTCCACAGACACAAAGCTCTTCTTATTTTCTCGTGCAGAAACATGTGTTTTCATGTGATTTGTGGCAGAATGTCCGCTGACACAAACACACAGCAAGCCTTCATTTGAAAAGTTAAATTCAAATGATCCATGTTCCACAGAGAGTCTGCATCTGAGATTAAACTTGACATTTAGAGTCTGTGGGGGGTAAAGTAGGATGACACACACACACACACACACACCCTTGAAGAATGGCCTCTTCGCTGTTTATTGGGTATTTTGTTGATAATGCTGTTATATCCGCTGTGACTTTCTTGTGGGCTGTTGATTGGTGGCTAATAGGAATCTAAATGGATTCTTGGATGTTAATTGCCACGAAAATGCAATAAAAGGTTGCTTTGTTTTAATGTGTTAACTCCAGGCGGTGCTGCACACGCAGTCTAAATTGTAATAGCTCTTAATAGGTTTTTGAAAGGAGATTTGTCATAGCGGATGAATGAACTATTGTCCTTCTGGAAATCCCTTTCGCACTGTGACGTTGCCTATCGCGAAATATGATTTGGAATATTGATGGCTTGGGACTGAAATGTGATGGTTGCCCGTGGGGTGTAATTAAAGTTGTTTGAGTAAATCATGCAGAGTTCGGATCAGATATGGAATAAGCTGTCGACTAAATCCCGCAGAAAACAATGAAGAGCATCGTCTGTCTTAACCTATTTATCAGAATAAACACCCTGTTGCTGAAATGTGGTAACGGGTGAGTTTAAAAACCCAACTAACAAATGTCTTGTGGGGGCAGAATGAAAATGTTAACGGCGAGGTTCAAGATTTATGAATTATGTATTGATCACAATAATTAAAACTCTACAAACCCTCTTAAAGAACTCTTATTTAATAATCCAGTTCTTTGCCTGTCAGCTTGTCACTGTAGCTTTGATATTAGCTTAGTATGGAGTGACTGAATAAAAACTATTTCCCCCCCCCTGAGTCAGACATACTTAGTCAGCTCTGCCCTTATTCAACTGTAATATTTAACACCCTAATATCTAAATTATTCAGCTCTGTAATTATTCCACAGAAATCTTTAATGCCTCTAATATCTAAACCTCTCTTCACCTCCAACCCTCTCCATCACACCACATGGTCTTCCAGGAAAAGACCCCCCCCACTTGTTTGCTCTGAATGTCCAGTGCTGTAGCCAATCAGTAAATAAGCGAGTCAGCGAGGTCTCATTAAAGTCGCTGATAAGACTGATTACAGGAAGAAACAACAGAGCACAGGCGCTCAGGGACATGTGAGACATGCGCACATATAATAACAGACGCTAACGTGCAAACAAAAAACAATCAGGCACAAACAGACTCCCATGGTGTTCCTCATCCATGTCCTGGGGCTCAGTCCACGTACTGTTTCACGTAAGCACATGAAATCTTATTTTTGGTGCGTGCGTAGTGCTGAGCTCTGGGCTGTGTGAGTGTCTTCTTTACAGTGTGTATGTGTCAGTATACTAGAATTTAAGGACGTGGGACTTGGAGAGTTGGCATTCTTAAATCTGTAGAGCAGCTGCTTTCCCTCGACAATAAGTTCTTTGAACAATGCATACTAATGATAGAAAGATGGCATTGCTCTTGGCTGCCGTTCGATTGACCTGAACATTTACTATCTTACAAATAAATGATAATAACGATAGATAAATGTCTTTGTCTCCAGGTGACGTGTTTGCAAGACTTCTTTGGCGATGAGGACGTTTTTGTTGCCTGTGGACCGGAGAAGTATCGCTACCAAGAGGACTTGATGTTGGATGAAAGTGGTGAGGGAACCAGTTTGACGTCTGACTTTTTATGCTGACGTTTCACTTTTTTAAGTGTGTCCCTCTCATTACATTCCTTCACGCCCCAGCTGTGTTTTCTAATTGTTAACTAAATGTTTTTTTATGTCCTATTTTATAGGTTTATAGCTATTAATCATTTAGTGCAATCACATTGTGATAAAATAGTGTTTTGATACATTATGCTGTTGTTTAAACGGTTCCAAATGGAAATAATTAGTGTTGAATGGGTAGTTTTACATTGCTATATAGTTCAGTGCAGTGGGCAAAGATTTCACATTACAAAATTGTCCAACAGAGCAAGACGGATAAATAGAGGTGACTACTGTTCGTGTCCCCAATAATGTCTTGTGTCTCGTCTGTACGTTATGTACCATACTCATTTACTGAATGTAAGTGTTTTCTTGCCTATGCAATTAGTTATTTAGTTTAGTTTAAATTCACAAAGTTAGCATTTAAAACTATGACTGTAAATACTGTTCCCTTCAATACATAATTCAGTTTTATGGGAACATTTTAAGAAGACAGGGATGAACTCTGTCCAGTCCAATTCAATGTCCTACTTTCTGTTATTAAGGCATTTTAAATCTTCCACACTCTCCCAAGTTTAAGGTGAAAAAACTATTATTTTTCTGTATTGCTCTTTATACTCCCCGACTTATCTTTTCAGTGGCACAGTACCCATCGTCTAACCTCATTGTTCATCTTCATTTTATCTTCCTGTCGCTCCACCGAGGTTTGCTGAGGACATTCTCCGTCCTCACTTCACCCATCTGTGTCTCCCTGTCTCTCCTCTCTCTGCACTTCTGTCTGGAGACTCCTGCTATTTAGTGCTCATTTATATTCCCATCCTCTCATCCCTCTCATCCCTCTCCCTCTCTTCTACATGAATGAGTGTGCACTGGCTTTTGTTTAAAGGTTTTATTCAATTAATTTGTGTCTCTCTGTCTCCCTTCATCCATGAACTAATATCCATCCCACCTGGGCTTCCAACCTTCCCCCTTTTGTCTCTCTTTCACTTTTTCCCAGCCCTCTTCCCCACTTTTCTGCTTTCATTTGCAAAATATAATGGCTAGCTGCTTCCATTAGTTTCTTTTTGTAACATAACCTCGTCTTCTTTGCTCCGTATTTCTGCTTGAGGCTAAAGCTTCGTTAAACTTCCAAAACAGTTCTCAAGGCTCAATATAGCAGTGCAGCTACTAAAACAAGTTGTATGTTAAATTATTAAAAGTAACTTGAAGTAGGTAGTTCAGAGGTAAGATGTAGCGAGTTAGCACCGACCTGTTTTTTTTTAAGGCTAGGCTAACATGCATGTTTCTCCGTTGTGAGGGATCAGATATGACCATGCTCTTTTTGTGTTATCACAAAGGGCATGAGAGTATTTATTAGTAATATGTCATGATGCTGGCCATGATCCACATACTTAAAAACTTTAGTCTCCATTAAATGTTCTCTCCAAAAAAAAACATTTGTTTTGGCTTTGTCACATTTATACAATTGTATAGACTTAAATAACTACCTTGGTTTACTGGAAGCTTCCATTAACCTCAACGTATCTTCTAAATCCCCCACCAAAGGCTAAGCTAACCTTAACCCTAATGTAATAGCTTATCCATGTGGGGTCTCACTATGTTGGTAACAAATATGTTATGGTCCTCACTATGTACAGGTACAAGAAAACACACATATGCAATATGTCGAGAAGCTATAGAGCCAATTTGAGAACTCCGAGCTAAAGGGCAAGATGCAGAATAGTCCGGCGGGAAATCACAGCGACACACACACACACACACACACAACAGACAGAGAGACAGTCGGAGTCAGAGCTGCACACCACTTCGCCTCCTCTCAGCATCACCATATAATTATCACCTCTGCCTCAGCCCTGGCACACTGTCATCATGTTAACACACCGCATTGTACATTAATCACTGGGCCACAACGACTGCCATGCAAGCAAATCACACACACACACACACACACACACACACACACACACACACACACACACACACACACACACACACACACACACACACACACACACACACACACCAGGCAGTATGTATAATTTCCCTTTCCCTCTGGTCTTGGTAATGAGCTATAATGGGGTTGGGTTAATGAGCAGCAGAGTAGCAACGTTTTGGGGATGAAGGAGGCAGGGAGGTTGTGAGTACCATCGCATGGCTCATTTGTCAGGATGTGTGTGTCTGTAAAATATCAGACCTTTGTGAGTCAGGCTGTCACTCCTGAAACACCATAATAATTGCATTTGCAAAGCAAGCCCAGTGAAGGTCAGAACTCATTTGTGCTGGGGACCTGAAGGTAAAACCAATTACAGCTGTGTTGGTACATTAAGTGTTTTTGTGCTTTTCTTGCAGGACTTAAGGTTGAAATCAATCAAAAATATTCTATCAATAGTTGGTTAGAAAACTGTGAAAATTAGGATTTTCAGCAGGGTTTAAGTTGTGTGGCACAAAACACAATGTCCAATCACCATGTCACACTTAAATTCACTACTTCAGACCATCGATTTGTTCCAAAGGTGCAGCAGTTTCCTATCTCTTCCTTCACTTGTTTGGGTAAACTAGTTCCTGGAATTGAAGACTTTAATAAAACGTATAGGAAATTTAGATTATTTTAGTAGACTAATAAATAAATGGGAAGTTTTCTGTGGTTTCTGAACTCTATCTGTCTTCTCTTCGTGCTTTCAGAGTGTCGTGTGATGAAGACTGTGACCTATGGGAAGATGTCTGCCACTCTGAACCGAGACTCCCCCAAGCTCGCCGTCCAAACACGGCGCAGCAAGTCCCCTGCATCCCGTAAGTGTTTGGTTCTTCTACTCATCTCATCCTCTAAATGTCATTTGGCATGGTGTCGTTGTCCTTTAAGTATCCTTTCATCTGCGTGTTTGAGAGGTGTGTGTGTGTCAGGCCTGATGGACACAGTTGGGAGTAGTTTTGTATGCTAATACTATCCCTTGTGATTGTATTTTCCAGCTCATTAATTAATCAGCGTCACAGCAAATGAAAACAGCATGAATAAACACTGCAATGATAACTGAGCTCTGCCGAGTGTCTGGCTGTGTTTACTGTGTGTGTGAGCTGTGTCTCGTCGCCTGCTGAATATTAATTCAGATGAAAATGATTTCATACGGGAGTGGAGAAACAGGGAAATGTGAACGAGAGAGGTAAAGAAATACAGGGGGAGAGGAGATGAGAGGGATAGAAGAGGGAAGGGGGTTGGTGACTCAATCCTGCAGCTCCCCACAAGCCGTTCTTGTACCTGACATACTAATGAAATATAATAAAATGGTGAGAGCTGATACCTGCTGCACTGTGTGTTCCTGATAACATTGCTTTGTGAATGTCTTGTAAAAGCCAAAACAGCCCTTTTGATGCAACAGTGGAGCACACAAGAGGACTCGAGTGAAATAGAGCATTCATTATAACAATTTCATGCAGATTTGTGTGTGTGTGTGTGTGTGTGTGTGTGTGTGTGTGTGTGTGTGTGTGTGTGTGTGGTGTGTGTGTGTGTGTGTGTGTGTGTGTGTGTGTGTGTGTGTGTGTGTGTGTGTGTGTGTGTGTGTGTGTGTGTGTGTGTGTGTGTGTGTGTGTGTGTGTGTGTGTGTGTGTGTGTGTGTGTGTGTGTGTGTGTGTGTGTGTGTGTGTGTGTGTGTGTGTGTGTGTGTGTGTGTGTGTGTGTGTGTGTGTGTGTGTGTGTGTGTGTGGAGGGAAAACAGACTGACTCGTCTTGGTTGCCTTGGAAACATAGCACATTAGGAGCATGTAGATACAGACACAATAGTCTGTTTGAGCCATATATGGCGTTGACTTCCTGTGGAATGGCCTGCAGTGGAGCAGGCAGCAGACTGATGCTCTGTCCTGAGGCAGACCGGTCCGGAGATCTCACTTCTGAGAAATCTTCATTATGGCGCTGCCTCCACATCATCACAAGCGCCCAGATTGTTGTTGACAGCACTGTGTTCATCCCCGAAAAACATCAGCACTTAGGAACATGGAGAGATCAGAGTGGAGCGGAAGGAGGAAATGACAAATAATTGATCTGCCGTTTGACCCTATCTGACACTCTTTTACTTCTAACGTTAACAGTACATATTATCTCATGGGTTGTTGTTTTTTCCTGCTCGCTTGAGGACAATTTGTCTCAGAATTATGCTAATCGTCAACAACAGCTGATCCTGTGTGCTGTCAGACGATGCTTATATAGGTGCTGTTGTTAAACGTGTTGGTGCAGCACTCTCACGGCTGAAAAGACAGAAATTTCACACGTGTATGATTTGAGAAATAGATGACACATTCTTGTTGATTCACAAGTGTTAGGCTTTACAGAATTCATTCACTGTTACAGTTGTAATATGATTCAATGTCTTATTTACACTTGTGATTTATTTGCAATTTATGACCACATGACCAAATATGTGAGAAAACAACATTTCTTCATTCAGAACAACATTATCAAATCAAACTGTTGATTACATTGTTATTGAATTAAGCATTTACCCGACTAATGAGGAATTAGCCATTATTGTAAACATTGATTCATCATTTAACATGCGTAACATCGATGGCTTTAACTTATTATAGTGAATAATAAATTAGGCTTTGGACGGTTTGACGGACAATACAAGCTATTTAATGATAACATTTGTGCAGTCAACATATTGCTTAGCATTATTACAATGAGGGTTGATAGACTAATATTTATATAATAAATCAAAAAGATATGAATTAGAATAATCAGTAATAAAACAGTTTTGTTAATCTAGGAAACAAAACCTTATGTCTCTGGGTCCTGGCTGACATGATAGTTCATATTTCTGAGAGGAAATGTGAGATGACTGTCCTCTTCAAGTTGTCTGATGCACCTCACGGCACACTGAAGTCAATCTTTCACAGACAGGGATGAACTCATCTAATGACACTCCAATATAATCTTCAGTCAGAACAATGTGGTCTGGCCTGCATCACTGTATTCATTGTACTAAATATAATTATAATGTAGAGCTTCAAACCCATTAACTCTGCAGAATAATGCAGTTAGTTGAAAGATTATTCATTATTCAAAATGTTATCGCTGCATCCCTCCGTTATGTAATTGCAGCCATACTCAGAACCTTTTTATCTGAGATTTGGCATTAAATGAAAAGTATGGTCACCGGATAATAACTTTCTGTCTATGTATTGAGTTTTAGAAAACAGCAGCTTGTAGGATTTTATTATTTCTCATTCCACACTGGAAGAGAAAACAATAAAGAACGCCATTCATTTTAAACCTGGCTGCAGGTCTTCAGGTGTTTGGAAAAGCAGCCTTGGAGTCCAATATTAATGTTCCATTCAGCCAACACAGGCTTTAATAACATTCTTTATCACATCTAATAATCTGGGCTGAAAGAGCAGCACAGAGAAGATGTGAAGCGTGGATTTGGCTGATAGTGAGCGGATGAAAGAAGGAGTAAGGTTTGAAAGTATGCGACACGCTGTGAATCACTTCCTGGTGTCCTTCTGTGTCTGGCTGCTCCCCATTGTGTGCCTTTCAATCTTTGACCTTGACACCATTGATGGGCAGAAGTGTGTTAAAGAGAAGGACAAACCAACTGGGGGGGGGGGGGGGGCACAGACAGACAGACAGAGAGAGATAATCGCATGGAAAAGAGACTACAGGCTTGTGCTGTTAAATTAGATGTCAAATTTTAACATATACAGTGCCTATAAGATGTTTATCCACTTCCAAGTTTCAAATATAAATGACAGGTTTTTATACGTCACTGGTGCAGCCACTTGGTTTCACCAGTCTGATGTGTTAAATGTGGTGGGGATAGGCATTGTTCATGTGCCAGTTTCAGTAGTAGTTGCCGTTCCAGCTTCATAATTCCTCATAGCGCATAATGGGGGACTTTAATCAGAAGTCACGATTTCCAGTGTTTTCCTAGTTCGCCTCCAATTGAAACCTTTCATTAAAGTGTTAAGACCTTTTGGATGTAATTAACACAACGTTTAAATGAATGTGCATATGTAACGCTCCAACCGAACGTTTATATTGTTGAAATAATGTACCTAAAACAAAAATAACTCTCATTTCACTTATGGTTATTTTGTTATGAAACCAAGCAATCACAGGCATTTCATGTGTTGAATGTGTTCGTATCTCTGCCTTACACAGTGACACAAGTGTAGAAAATGTCACTGTAAAACATTACATATATTCCAAGAGAGGGTGTAGAATAAAGAAAATTATTTACATTGCAAATGGTGACAAGAAATCCAAAACCCTTTACGAACACTTTGTCTTAAATACGTTTCAAGAACAAAAGCCTTCTGAGAAATATTTTAAGTCGTTCAGAAATGCAGTTATACGTACAGTATGTGCTGTTGGTTTGTTGCTAGGTAAATTATACTCTAGGTCTAAAGTAGTCACAATCCTCGGACTGTCTCTAATGCTGTACACAGTAAAGAAATAATAATTCTGTGAATGAGAAAATGAAACGAACGCATCACACTTTTATAAATTTCAACTGATTAAATGTTAAAATACAAATTACATATTGACCTTTTCTGATCCATCTTTAATATCTAAATCAGAAATTAAATACAATTTCAGTCACCTTTCGCTTTGAGAAAGATATTCCTCAGGTATCTACACTCGATGTGGAGGGGTCTGAAGTGGCGTCATGTTCCCTCAGTTTCGTGTGTTTTACGTGGGCACTTTGTTGCGTGTCAGCCTGACATTGTCACCACACGAGCTTTATTCTGTGATGATCTCACAAACCCAGCTGAGTGTCTATGCCGACCCAAAATAATGTGTGAAAACAATTTGCACTCATTCCATACTTTCCCACCATCTGTTTCCCTGCCCTCCTCTGATGCGTAATGTCAGCTCACATTGAGTGCAGATGGTGCCAGCAAGCATCACTTCTGATTCTTCAGGGTCTCACCTTTCTCTTTCTGTCATGAGCAACTCGGTTTGACGGGAGAGTGCAGGGAGGGGGGGGGGGGGGCGCGACGACCCCACACATAACTCCAGAGTATCTCCGGAGGATCAGCTGCTGCTGGCTGAGACACTCTGAGGTGTGAAACCCTCACTGCAACTCATGAAGGAGATAAATGTACTTTCTGAAAACAGATAAGAATGCAGAGCGTAACAAATAACAGAGACCGAACCCAATAACAGGCTGCAAGAAAAACTAATTATGGTGTTGATATTTGCACTAAAGGCAAGATAATGACTAGCCTCCAGTCAGCTTCGTGTTCATGAAACACAGTAAACAACAGTAAAACTCTTATGTATTTTACCTTGCGTATCTTATAGAAACAATAGACAGTTTCCATTAGGCATAGTCCTGGTTTTCTCACTGATTTTGTGTGTCGATTTTCCAAGAATAGTTTTGGAAAGCCTTCGTGGACCATGCACAAAAACAACCTGTGTTTATCCTAACATGCTCCGTCGGTGTAGGAAAGGATGGGGTTCTTAAAAATAAAGCTGTGATGAACATAGCACATATGATTGGTAATATGCAGGGAAATAACATTATTGTATTGGTTGGTAAGACCCATTATCCCATTATATTGGTAAGATGGAGACTGAAAAGACACCAGCGATTTCTTTTATAACAATATATAAAAGGTAATGTTTTTTGTTTGTGTTTTTTCCCCATTCATATTTCAACATGTATGTGCTTCATGCCGACTCTGGAGACAGGCAGACACATGAGGTGATTCTCCATATCCATTGCCAGCACTGCTTCTTTGTGAAGTTGTGCAGCCATAGCGTTTAACACAGCAGGTGGGAAAGAAGCTACAAAGGCTGCATTGCATTCTGGTCAAATTGTTATCATTAACGAGAGCATCTCTGCAAAACATGTAGAATACCAGTGATGTTTGAGATTATATTTCTGCATTCAACCTTCAAACTGCCCTGCACATACCTCATATCTTCTGATTCTGGGTTGGATATGTGCTTGAATAAGAGAAACCCTAAAGCACACAGAGCTGGCTGCTGCTGCTGCTGCTGCCTGTATTGCTCTTGCTTTGGGTGAACATTTGCAGTTTAAAAATAGCAGCATTTGTTTCTTGAGGATGTTTGGACAAGGAACAATAGAGCCTTCAGAATCCATGTAGGACAGGCTGCCTCCTCCCGACCAAACCTCTTCAATGACTCTTATTTTTCTGCACTAGTTCTCGCAGTTTGTCTCCAAAATATCAAGGACATTGTTATGGAAAGCCAAAACATATCAAAATCATAGATGTTATTTGTCCTACACCCCACCCTCTCCCTCTCCCTCTCTCTCTCTCTCCCTCTCTCCCTCTCTCTCTCTCTCTCTCTCTCTCTCTCTCTCTCTCTCTCTCTCTCTCTCTCTCTCTCTCTCTCTCTCTCTCTTTTCCCGGTTCGCCGTCAGAGCGTGCGCATGCAGCCTCCCCCCCCCTCCCTCCCTGTGTAGTACAGCTCCTCTCCGTCTCTCCCATTCACCACAGTTTACTATCACACTCGGACGGAGCGCGTACAGAGGTGCTATTCTTCTTCTCTTGAACCCGCGTTGGATTATCACTGTGTTTTTCATCATGCTAGAAGTGGAAGGTAATAAATCACCGTTTTTACATTGCGGCTTTTACGCACCCGGCCTGTGGTATACACTGTCTTCCGGCAGCGTTGACTTGACGCGTTCCTGCTCCGATCCTGATGTAGATGTATGCGGGTCTTTCAAAGTCCGCGGATGTGACTTTGAATATCATTGACTTTGAGGCTAATGAGAGATGTCTGTAAATGCTATCGCTTTCCGTTGTGTAACTGGAAGGAGTGTCTCTCCGGGTGCGTAACGCTGATGCTGAATTTTCATCAATGGAGATGTCCAGGAATTGCTTAAAAAATACCAGTTTCTTTATTTCCTTTCTCATGCCCTCGTTTGGAAAATTAGAATCCTGATGCTGAGGAAGCCGGTGCTATTTTAGTCTGCTGTGGGTTTTCTTTATCTGCTTTCATCTTGAATTATTCAGAAAGTTCTTTGATCTCGGCAGGGGAATAAACCTCATACAGGGAGGCTTGGACCTCTTGGCTCCCGCAGGTCTGTGAGAAAAATGTGTCGATGTGGAGACTGCAAATGAAATATTGTTTAAATGCAGCAATATGTAGGCTACAGAACAAAGGCTTACAAATGGAAGTGTGATTAAAAGACTTGGCAAACTAACCAAAAACCATGCAGTGATTGTACTCCCCTCCCTCTACAATGGGGAAGTTGCATTATTGGTCATGCAACCTAAAACATATTAGAAAATCCAAACAATCAGAGCTAATTTTGACCATTTACCACTTTGTATTTCCCTATTACTGCAGTTTCATTGAGCTGACTTGGTTTAAGGCAGTGTTTTGTTGCCAAGAGACAATAACCCATGTTTTCAGTAAGACCAAACCAGGCTTATGTCTTGTGTGCAGGTTAATGATGCTGTTCAGCTTTATTCAAATTAAGCTTTTGCTCGACCAGATGCCGGATTTTGTGTGCAGTGTTGATTAATCTAATGTTCTCGTTAAATGAGGTGATGCTGCTGGGTTTTAGTGCCGTGCTGCAGCTGGAGAAGAACACCGAATCGAGGTCACAAGTGCACAGATTAGAGGATGTGGATGGAAATGAGGACAGCCTGGTGTTGTGTGTTGACCTCCAGCCATGCACTTGAAGCCTTGAACATGTTGTACTTATCCGGTGCACATAATGTTTAGAGGTTCAGGTTTGATTGGCTTGTTTCATAGAGATTTTTAAAAGCAGGATCTGTATTTTGGCTTCTTTAAAACCAAAAAAAGAGCAGTGTGGACTTCACTGCTCTTTTCCTTTCTCTCCTACTCCCCCTCTTGCTCTCCTCCTCCTCCGCCTCATTCATGTGAATGGAGAGAAGCTGAGGGCGGAAGTGTGGGCTGCTGCTAGACACTAGAAAACATGCATTCACATTTAAAGGATCATCTATATCCATATTTCTCTCACACACTGCTCCATTTTCCCTCTCGTTTTCTCCCTCCAGTGAACGGGACGCCGGCCAGTCAGCTGTCCACTCCTCATTCGGGAAAATCTCCCAGCCCCTCCCCGCCCAGCCCGGGCAGCCTCAACCAACGCATGGTAAGACAAGAATACACAAGCATACACACAAAAGCAGTCAGCCATATCGTTTAGTGACACTAAATCTATAACACATTCCCTCTCTGTCCTCAGGAAAATGACAAATCCATGACTGACAATAGGCCGACTACATCTTAGAGTTGTTAGAAATCCGAAGACACATCCCAACATCTTTAGTGTCTCAGAAGGGGTGGGGCATTGACCTTTGACCTCACGCTTTGCTGCTCTGGGATACCAAGAATGTCAGGCTCGTGTTAGGATCCTCTAATGTTACAGCCCTTATCCAGTGTTAATAGATTTTCCAAGGGCAATCCCTCATTTCATGCTGATTTTCTGTCACATTTCCACACATGCTGACCCACATCCTTTTTTTCCTCAAGGAGAACTCTATCTGCCTTTGGTAGCTACACAATGAATGATGCTATCACTGACTTTTAGAGATCTGCCGCCAGTCAGTCATTTGTGCAATATCTAATCTAAAAATGACACTGATGGGTGGCTTTGTGAGCGGCTTGCTCCAATCTTCATGTCTGTTTTTATTCTGGGTAAAATTGGTTTTGAAATCTCCGTTAGCCACCAAGCTGTGTAAAAAAACAATCTGTACCGACTGCTGATCTAGGATTACTTTTTTATCATGTCATTTTGTACATGTCCTTTTGTGAAGATAATTTAGAAGCACATTTTATACTAGTAATTCAGATTATTTCAGTCATCTTTTTATTATGTACTCTGTCATTGACCTGGGTTTGAAATAATCTCTTTTAAGACATCATAATGTGTTTTCTGTAGCTAACAGAGAGACATGAGATTTGGGATGCAAACATACTTTAATATATGAATGCTGTAAAGCTGGTAGCCACTATGGAGAATATACAACTGTGCAGAGGGAGCATGCAACTCAAACGGGAGAGAACATTGAATTTCACATTAGAGGGTTCATGTGTGGTGTGTTGGTGTGTGTGCATGTGTTCAAGATCAAAGTCTTTTTTAATCCAGTCGTTGACAGTGACGGTGGTGAGCTTTTAATATCAGCCTTAAATCCTAATGAGACTGTTTTCTTGCAGCAGCTTGTAATTTGCAGTAACTCTAAGCCTGCTGCTGATTTTGTTCCTTTTCCCTCGCAAACACACACTTGCACGCTCGGTTCATCTCCTACATTAACATATAGACACAGCAGTATATGTAAACTGTGGATTTATAAGGCCTCCAGCTTGCACATGCATTTGTGTACCACTTTTCTACCTGACTGCAGGGGAGTAACTATGATTTATTCTGCAATTATTTAGCTATTTATTGGTGCTGCCACATTGCTTTTTTTGGGAAGGAAAGGTTATGATACAGTGTGAGTCAATACCTCTTAATAGGACACGAAAATGGAGTCTGTGAATAATGTCTGTACGTAAATTAGCTAAAATCAGCATAGCATAAAGAATGTATCTCTTGGGCTCAGTGGCTTGGGTCTCGTGCTACATTGGATGTGCCAGGAAGAATGAATTAATGGTGGAGGATCTGGCCTGTTTGCTTCTGAATCCATCAGTGATGAGGTTATATTGATGTGATGTGAAGGTCAGTCAGGGACAGATCAGATGTGGGTACTGAGAACAGAAAAGGGGGCACTTAGACTCCAACGGTTGTCTGTGTAATGGAAATGGGTCACCATACATTTCAACGTTAAAAGGGAAAGAGGTTGGCAAGTGCACACATTTAAAAACTCTTTCTTTCTGTCTATTCTACTGTTAATAACAATGATTATGGTGCCCGGTTTCTGCCAATCTGTTCTTTTGTATCATTTCCACATTTTCAGAGAGCAATCCAAAGAAAAGTCATGGTTAGTAGCGCTAACCAGATGTAATGAGAAAAAGAAGAAGCATATTGCCCCATCTTCTCCACAATCAACCTCACCACCTGTCTTTTCGCCTCCGTCCGCTTTTCTCATCAAACATAAGCCATCGCAAATTAGCTTTGTAGTGCAATCCTGACCTCAGTGAACAACCTTTAGATTCTAGTTTCAGCGTTTCTCGAATGTGTATTTCTCAACACGAGATTATTTGGGTGTTTGTAATCGCTGACTCGGCTCTAAGCCTGCGATGGCCTGGCTGGAGGGAAGGGAGGAAGCCTCACAGTCCATTATCTCTCCCCTCCACTCTGCAGCTATACGATGGTGTAATTCTCTTTTACACTTGCTTTTTCTATCTGCCCCGTTAGCAATTCTCCCCCTGTCCCTTCCCTCCGTGACAGTTTCTAATTTTCTCTTATACTTCATCTCTCACCCATTCTCATCCCCCCACCACCCAGCTCTCTCTTCCCCGTATGAAAGGGTATTAACTTCACACGGAGAAATGATATGCCATCATTTCCCTTGTAGATTAGTTCTAAGCTCCTTTGAGAAGTAGGCGGCAAGTTTCTCACACTATATTTGCACATGTCCTCTCCCTGTGTAAACATGCATGAATAACCGAGTACTCACACAGAAATCATTTTTTGTTGTGCTTTCAAGTAAGCGAGTAGCTTTTTCACCCTTACGCCTAAAACGCATAATTTATTCTAACCAAACCGTGACTCAGAAATGACCTTTTTCTTCACATGAAACTAGCATTTTCACATCTGTGTTTTGAAAAGAACAACTAAGGCTAAAAAAATGACATTTAAAATGCCTTCAAAGCATTGCAAGTTACCATGAATCAATTTCCTCAGCAGCCACAGAGCCGCAGTGACCTATTACGAGGATAGCATTTAAAGAGCTAACCTCGCTGGACCCTGCATTTAAACACTTAGAGGCACTCTGCTGACTGATGTGGGTTGTTCTCACGGCTCAGACCATCCTAACCCATTTCCCCGAGCAGAATACACAGACATGGCATTGCGCTGCAGCTTTTCACTTTCCCTTTCACACATGCATAGCTGCAAGCACATAGACATGCGCCGCGGTTCTTCATGGCATTTGCTCACAGAATCATGTTTGCTTCATAAAAAACATTTTTATACATGAAATCGCCATTTGTGCGCAGGCAGTAGACAACAGCCCAATGCACACATGCGCTTGGCCATGTGTTTTATACATTTGATGCACTCTAGCATGACCCAATTTAAAGTGGACCTATCATGCTATATTTGAATAATATAGTGTAGGACCATACCTATATAAGGCATATTTATACTTTTTTTTTTTTCAAAATACCAAACAGATCATGCATTTTAGCCATGCCTCATTTTGCTCAATTTGACAATTTCTAGCTCTGTTTTAGCAAGGGCAGATTCAGTGAGAACAGCACCACCTACAGGCCTGGCATATGTACTACAGCGTCTCCAGCGCTTTCGAACGGCAATGGCCGTGGCTGTCTCCTCCTGATTGGTGGAGTTGGCCCAATAGCCCGTAGCGCCACCGTCCTGACGTCAGGACAGTGTTCAAATCTGGATCAGTTTTTATCAGATCCGTTGCAGCCCCTTTTTTTAGAGATTTGGGTATGGAGGAAAATAGAGAGGGTTGTGTTTTCTGACACTTGGTGAGTTCCCTGGAACACCGGGGACACATATTCATGTATAAAAGACGTACAAAAGTGCATTTTGCATGATAGGTCCCCTTTAATGAATAAGCAACACAACCATGAAGGACGGGTCTACATTCATGATGTCATCTATCCCCTTCTTCTACTTTTCTTTGAGGCCACTTGGATCATTGAAAGCACACTAGCTTTCCATATTCATCATGCTTTAATATTTGATATTACACCTACATACACGCTGACACACACATTCTGTTTTCTGTCAATATCCACTCTGAAGCACGTATGGATGAGTTGAATGAGCTGGTGAGGTCAAAGTTATTCCCCGTCTGTTTCCTCCATTAGATGTGAAACACACACGCAGGGAAATACATCAAATTACAAATATGTGGAGTGCAGGGATTGACAGATTGAAGGCAAGTCCAACAGAAGGTTTATAATGCTAATACTAAACAACAGCTGTGATACAGACAGGTAGCCATTTTTGGTGAGCGTAGATGAAGAAGAGGCTATTGTCAAGTGTGTCACCTACATCTTCCTTTCACCATTGAGTCATTCAAGTCTGTAACCCATTGAATTGCATGCTCCATCTCTCATTACCGTCCATATTTTGTGTTTGGTGAATCATAATTAAATTATGTGTGAATGTGTGTGTGTGTGTGTGTGTGTGTGTGTGTGAGAGAAAGCAGAGTGAAGGTGTGTATTATGATGTTGGTAATTATTGTCTCATCTCATCAATGTGAGTTTGTTGTTACTTCAGATTGTATTTGTTATTGCGTTGTACTTTATTTCCTTTGTTCCTGTTGTGTTGTCATTAGATGGCTTGTCCAATTTTGTGTTCCTATGTCTTCCAAAAAGACTGGCTGCAACACATGAGGAAACTGTGGAAGATTTTGATGCAAAATTAAAGCTTATACATTGTTTTATTCCTAGAAACACATGATTTTAATTTGGCTCATATTTACATATCTTTAATTGGTAACATCACATTTCGTAAAAGGCGTTTTGCACTGCCATTTACTTGTAAGATATGTAAATCTGAAAATCGTCTCTGTGCTCTATCACAGCCCAATTGTATTTGATAACCTGGTGCTTCATTTAAATATTGAGAGTTTGTCATGTAAGGCCGCCAGTTCTTCTTGGCTCATTTGTTTCAGTTTGTATTTTTCTTTGCTTAATGTATTAATTTCCATTTGTTGATGTCATCATTAAATTCATTGTCATTTCATTATCATTTTGTGTTTTTCTTCTCTTGCTTCTCATTGGTGTTGATTTATTATGTTCATCACACACGAAGACAGACAGGGATCATTTGCAGTAGATGATTATCATAGGATGTTTGGTTCCTCTTTGTGAACCTTGTGTCTGTATTCAGCCGAGCACAAAAGACATTACAACACAAGCTCAGTCCCAGAGGTGCATTCATCATCTCTGTCCCACTGCTTCTCTTCCAGATGTGTTGTTTCTCTGGCTTAGACAGCCCATTTTTTTTAATTTTCCGTTAAACATTTAATCATGGCCCTGTGATTCCCTGGGATTGTGGCCCATAAGGAACGTGATTACAAAAAAAAAAACCAAAGCATCAAGTCAGAATCCCCAAACACTGTTGATCTCTTTGGATGAGAGTCAAACAGATTATGTTGCTCTCTGTCACCAACATAAGAGCCAAGATATATTACTGTACCCTCTGTCCTTATGAGAGTCAGAAAAATCGGGACCAAACAAAGTACCCTGTTTCTATCAAATCCTATTAGATGTTTTGCCCAACATGGCGAACACCAATAAACCCTGCTTTTGCTGGATAATGCATGACCGTGAACGTGATAAGAAAGAGCTGGAGAGGATGTTTGGCTCTCTCAGTCTGAAGGACGGCTTTAGGATGTGTGTGTTAATCGGATTCACACAGGGTCATCGAGGATAAAACTAGCCTTATTCTTAAAACAGTTTTGTGAATGTGTGGTGCATATGTAATCCCAAATTGTACAGTTGACAAGACTTCCTTTTCATTATTTCTGCTGCTCCACTGTTAAGGTCATTCGTGGACATCCTGTTTAATTCACATGCATTCACCTATCAGCATTCATTCGCTGAGTGTTGTCCTCGGAGGTTGGAGAGCAGTTGCTCCAGCCGTGATGTGAAGGTTTGTCAGTGTGTGTGTTTTTTTGTGGTGTGAGTCATAGCCAGAGCAAAAGTGTAGCGATGTAGAACTAGGAATAGTTTATGTTGTGTTGTGCAACAGGAAGAAAGTTGCATGGTCTAACAATAACAAGACAGTTCCTGCCAAATGTAAGGATCAATATCAACCACAGCAGACTATCTTTCTCACCGTGTCCTTGTTTTCATTTTCTCTTCACTCTGTCTATCTCTCCATCTGTCTCAAAGTTTTTTCCGCACAGGAAAGAGAGACACAGTGTTCAAAGAAGGTTGAGCTTACCTCCCAGCCCGCAGACAGGAAACGGCCATATATAGGCTTCTGTCAGCTCACTGGAAGTCTCACAACCAACCTCTCCTCTCTCCTCTCTGTGAGCAGTTTCCATAGCAACAGTATTTTGTTTCCCTCGGTGGCAGGAGGAGAGAGAGAGAGATAGGAGTTCAAAATGAGAAAGCCAGTGGAGGACGGGGCTGGATGTGAGATAAGGGCATAAGCGAGGAGAATATACGAGTCAGAAGGGGAATAAAAGAGCATGAGAAGGATGTTTTGTAGATAAAGCACAGGAGGGTCATCAGCTTTATGGTTATTAAGTGGGTTTTCTTGTTCCGGGATGAGTGCCCAAACAAAAACAACATTACATAAACCAAATTCAGCCTGACTCACAGCTACATTCACCTTGGTAGCTCTGAGGTCCCAGCAGCGGAGATGAGTAAACAAGCTGACAGTTACTACAGAGATACAGGGAAGCTGGGCCCTGTAAATAGTTCAGATCTTAGTCATTGTGATGGGAGACCTTTTCCTCTTTCTGCCGTGACAGCGAAGTCTTCAGGCTGTATCTCAGTCTGACTGGGCATCATATAAATTAGAGGCTATTTCTAGATCCCTGCAAGCTTTTTTTTACATTGAGTACATCTGCGCTGTTGCTCAAATCCACCATGTGGAGTCAGAAGGAAAGTGATTTAATGTGACAGTTTCAAAAGTTTTCAAAGGTTTGATGTGTGAACTTTTACTATACCATTATATCAGCCTTCTACACGTCACATTGTGCTGGCTCGGTTAGTATAAAAACAACAGGAAGCATCCATTAATTCAGCAACACTGTTTGGATCTCATCTCTCCCTAAGGCGTCAGGTCTGATTAGTGTGTAAATTATACTATGTTTCCCATTTATAGAGCTTTAAAAACACTACACCTGCATCAGACACTTAATAATAAGTTGTATTATCAGCTACAACATTAGTCACCATCAAACCACTGAAGCACTGCTCTCAGTTGCTCATGCATCACACACATAGTCCAGGCCATTCACAGCGCAAAGACCTTTGTTATTCATTCTCATCGGCCAGCTTATCTTTTGGAGAAATGATGGTGGCTGCCACTTCAGTTACTGGCCAGGCGGATGTGCCAGCTGCACCTGGAGGATTTGTTCGAGCACTGGACACCTCCCAATTACCTTTTAACTGATTTGTTCTCTCACAGGTCTGACTGTGAGAGAACAGAGACGATGTTCATCTAATAAAAGAAGAAAGGAATGAAGCTAACAGGTTTTTAGAGGAGATGAGAACAGAAATATGTACAGGAGCGAGGACAGACAGAAACAGGAGAGGGGTAGATTCTCATTTACAGTCCAGACTAGATCCTCGCTCCCCGCCCTCGGTGCTTCCATGACAACCAGACAGAAGGTTACGAGGTGGAGGGCGTAATGAGTTTTGGTCTTTTGATAGATGCAGACGCTGCATCTCTTTCCCCGTAATGACCTCCTGCTCACCAACCAAATGAGAGGCAGAATTAATCCACCTTTATTTAAGTCATTAAAGTCGTTTTAGCTGTTATTAAATGTAGACGTGAGGAAAAGAACTGTATAACATTGTACAGGATTGACTTAAAGTCCTATGAATGGAGAGTAGCTTATTGGGATGCCACATGGACACACACAGGGGGTTTGCTGAATAAGGAACCGGTTTATATTCACCTCAGTAGCCTAAGTACATCTGTTCTCTTTTATGTGAGCACATAATACAGGGCAGCAAAGTAGAAAAGACAGACATGCAAACACAAAGACAGATTTCAGGATGTCCCGAGGACAATGTACTTTAGTCTATTTTTGGACATGTTTCTATTCGGCTGGGATTGTAACAGAAGGGACTGCTTTATGGTGTTTGGTTTAGAGTGGAGTGGATTTCAAACTTTTTAAAGTGATAATTAAGATTTGAAATATTTACCTCTCCCTCTCTACAGGGGTCCCAGGGTTCTTCCAGCTCTCTGTCTTCCACTAAAGTGTCCAGCTCGGTAGAAGACGGAGATGGACCTGTTACTGACGGTGAGGAAAATGATTGTAGCCATACCGTCATGCTAGTGCCATCTGTCTATCAGTGGGGAAAGGCGATGTACTTGCTAATATCATGCATGTGTGAATCATGTTATTGACCTTTGGTGCGTCTCGCTGTGTCTGCGCTGTACATCCTGTTTTCTCACACCTTTACTTCTTCTGGTGTCCTGCTTCACCTCTCTGACTCAGTGACACTACAAACATCCATGTGCTGGTAAATGTCAAGGTACCAAGAAAATGTCATTATTATGTTGAGTCATGGATCTCTGATGTTCTGATCTTTATAATATTAGAGGGCACAGAGACCATCTCAAATGTAAAAAGTGCATCCAATAATTGCATACATTTAATTTATAACCTAGTTTCATGTTTACTTTTCGATTTTCTTACTTGACCGCCATTTACAGAGCTCTTCACGCAAAGCTGTAGAGTCACAAAATGTCCACCAGAAATATTTTAAATACATTTAAATGTATATTTAAATATATAAATAATAAAATAAAAACATATTTTTAAACTGATGATGGTTCTACAATATGTTTACATTTATTTGTTATAACCTATATATTTTAGGTATCTGTGATATCTTCATTCATTAGTTTTTTATCATTCCATTTACATTTTCGTTACAGTTTAATCAATTCATTGTGTTATGTATGTATCATTTATTTTCATATCATTTTTACAAATCTTATCTTTTAGTCTTGTTAGATATAAATGCATGAATTGTAGCAGTAAAAGCTTTAGCCTTTAGGTCCTCTCCTCTTACGTTATTGTGTACAATCAGCCTGGAAGTGTGACTTTGAGTCCCCCAGCTTCTCTAAACCTCGGCCTTCTTCCCTGCAGCTGAGGTTTTAGTCGACGAGGTTCCAGCTGTGCCGTCCTACATATCGGACCGCTACAAGGTGGGACGCACGTTAGGAGATGGGAACTTTGCAGTGGTCCGGGAATGTGTGGAGCACACTACAGGACGGGAGTACGCTCTGAAGATCATCAACAAGGGCAAATGCAGAGGAAAGGTGAGCTATGACTCTAAAAGCAAAACGTATAGAATTGCTGATTTCTTAAGTGTTCATAGTGTGGAGAAAAATACTTTGGTTGAAACTTTTTTTCAATGTATTCACTAGTTCTAACACTTTTTTGATGTCAATGAAACTACAAGAAAGACTAAGAAAAATTACAGTTTGCACCAGGGGACACACTTCCTAGGACTTTAGGATTAATGCTGGAGATCAAATAGAATATGTTTAGGAACATTAATTATTACATTACATTAATCTGTGTTATTTAAAGGAAAAAATATCCTCTTTTTACTTACCAGAAGAGTGTGTGGTGTGTGTGGTGTGTGTGTGTGTGTGTGTGGTGTGTGTGTGTGTGTGTGTGTGTGTGTGTGTGTGTGTGTGTGTGTGTGTGTGTGTGTGTGTGTGTGTGTGTGGTGTGTGTGTGTGTGTGTGTGTGTGTGTGTGTGTGTGTGTGGTGTGTGTGTGTGTGTGTGTGTGTGTGTGTGTGTGTGTGTGGTGTGTGTGTGTGTGTGTGTGTGTGTGTGTGTGTGTGTGTGTGTGTGTGTGTGTGTGTGTGTGTGTGTGTGTGTGTGTGTGTGTGTTTGTGCGCACCGTGACAACAGTATTAGATGTTATTAAAGGAGCAACAGAGCACACACACATCACAGCAGGAGAGGGCCTGGTGTTGAATTACTTTTTTTTTTCATTAATACATTTGTTACCCCCGGCTACAACATCAATTTCCCTTCCTATTTCTAGGAGCACATGATCCAGAATGAGGTGGCCATCCTGCGCAGGGTCAAACATCCAAACGTCGTCCTGCTCATAGAGGAGGTGGACACTTACAGCGAGCTCTATCTGGTCATGGAGCTGGTCAAGGTGTGTGGCCATGTTTGTTTACTGTGTGTTTGTGCTTCATATGCTCTGGCTATGGACAGGCAGGGATATGTGGCCAAACAAAGATAATGGATGTTTTAAGATAAGAAGGACATTCTTGTGCCAGAGTTACAAAGATACAATAAATATAATATTAATAGTACCAATAATAATAATAATAATAATAATAAAACTGTACACTAACAGTGCAGTAAAAAGAGAAACAAGAAACAAAGATGGACAAGTTATGATTATAAAAAAGTGAGGAACGGTATTGTAAGAGTACAACAAAACGTAATGGCTGATGCACATGCTATTATTGCACATTATGTTTATTGCACATGATTTTCCAGTGGTTTGTCATAATGATATTGCACATACATAGTGGTCTGGCAGTTTTCCTTACTGACGTTTTATGGCCACTGGTAGGATTCAAGATTCAAGGCTTTTATTGTCACATGGCTACAGTGTAGTTATGACAATGACAATCTTACTGTAGGTCACAGGCTCCTCCAACAGTGCAAGTAAATAGAATAGAATAGAATAGAAATAGTGCAGAAAGGAAAGACCTCCTGTGCCGTTCCATGGTGGTCCTCAGCGGTCTCAGTCTAAAGCTGAGAACACCTTTTCTCTATATAAGTTGGTGATCATTATCTCCAACTCGAGAGTGACAGAAAGGAGCAGGGAGGCAGACACAGAGACAGAGCTGTGACATTTAACCGCTGAAGCAAATAATGAATTCCAACCAGCCACACACTGGGACCCAGAGAATCGGTCTGTGGCCCGGAGCGCTCGTGTGTTCACATTCTTTATTCTCCCTCTCGCTCTCTGAGTCAAGAAATGTTTGTGCATAATTCAGAAGCCAGGAATGTGATCCATCTGTTCGTGTTGTGGCGTAGAGTACTACAGAATATAGATGAGAGGCAATCTGTGGAAGAAGTGTGTGTGTACGTGTGAGCGTGTCCAAAGTAGGAGGATCGAGAGGAGGCTGTAGATGAATGAGGTTTAGAGAGTCTGTGAGAGTGGCATGGACTGAGAGAGGGAGGGAGGCAGATGGATGCACTACATGGGGAGGAGAAGGGTGAGTGCAGTGTGAGGGAAGGTACCAAAAACATGGCGAACACATCGTTTTGTGATCTTTTTCCTTTTTGTGCTAGGTCCCTTATTTAATGAATGGAAAGCGTGATATTTCAGACAATAGTTTCCAGAGGCTTGAACTCAACCCCATCCAACACTTTTGGGACGCCAACTGTTAGCAGCGCTTCATCGTTTGTCACCCGTGACCGACCTCACTAACACTGCTGTAGCTGAAGTGGAGAAAAGTCCCAGCAGCCAAGTTCCCAAGTCTTGTGGAAAAGCCTCCCAGGAAGAATGGAGGATGTTATAGGAGAATATTAATATGAATGTATATGTGGGAGGCGTGTGGTGCAGTGGGTTGTGTGTTGGTGTTGGGATCAGGGGGTCACAGGTTCAAACCCCACTGCAGTCAGCATGTCGTTGTGTCCCTGGGCAAGACACTTCACCCCAAATTGCTCCTGTGGGGATTGCCCACTGTATTGAGTATGTAAGTCGCTTTGGATAAAAGTGTCTAACAAGTGACATGTAATGTGTATGCCTTTTGGGGATATGATTGTCAATGGTTACATGAATGTCTTGGACTTTTCTTCTTTATTATTCACATAGGTGTAATATCTTGGTGTCAACATACTTTTGACCACATGCTTGAGATAGAGATGCGCTAATGCTGACATGTCACTGTGCCCGCTGGATGCTGACTGTCAGATCCTGTGCTAGGAGAAAGAGTTAAACAGATTCAGCCCTATTTTAAGCTCTGTTCCACTTAGTGCAGAAAGAGAGAGAGGGAGGGAGGGAGGGGTGGGGGGCTGGGAGTTCATACAGAAAGGTAGAGAAAGAGCCTAAAAGACAATAAATGTAAGGGAAATATGAAAGAAAGTGATATGTTTCAAGCTTGTAGAAGAATAAGAACACAGTTTACTCTTCCAGCTGCGGATCAAACCAAATCCCTCGCTGATGAATCCAGAAGCTGGAAACTCTCTTCAGCCGAAAAGAGGAGCTAACTGTGAAACCTGTCAGGTTGTGTGTGTGAAACCTGTCAGGTTGTGTGTGTGTGAAACCTGTCAGGTTGTGTGTGTGTGAAAACGCCAAACAGACTCCTGTTCCTAATAGCTGTCCATCATGATTTGTCTGCAGGGGGGGGATCTGTTCGATGCCATCACCTCCGCCAACAGGTACACAGAGAGAGACGCCAGCGGCATGCTCTACAATCTGGCCAACGCCATCAAATACCTCCACAGCCTCAACATTGTGCACAGAGACATCAAACCAGAGAACCTGCTGGTGAGTGTCTGCATGTGTCCATACGGTCTATACATGATCCTACATCTCGTGCCGCAGTATAGCTTCCCTGTGAATGGACAGGGAAGGGCTATCAGTCACTCTGGACAGAGATGACTCATCCCTGCTGCCCTCACACCTCCCGCACACTCCTTCTCCTCCCTCGTCTGTGCCTTCCCTCCCTCCTTCTCCCTTCTGTCGACCTCCTCATTTTCTTCTCTTCTTCCCTCAACTGCTGTTCTTCATCCCCTCTTTTGCCCCTTCCATCACTTCTTACAAGATGTGTTGCAGAACATGATAGCAGTGAATGAACAACAATTTAAAAAGACGCGGAAATGTCTGGACAACTGTTAGTATACGAAAAAGGGATTATAACAGCGTGAAGGTCATAGTTTGTTTCAGTTATACTACTGTGTAATTATACCCACCCTATATTACATACATAAACATGTACAGTACATTTACTACTACCTTACCAATGCAATTTTTGATTGCAAGTCACTGGAGGTTTGAACCTGTTAAAATACGTTGTCACTTACATCCCAGTGGTATTAACAGAAAGGATATCAATGCATACTGCTCCCCCCCTCACAACCCATGTGTTTAACTCACAGAATAGTTACATTATTCTACACAGAAAAACAGAATTATTCCAAAAAATGAATATACAAAACCATTAAATATCCTACTTCTTTTGTATGTGCATAGGTGTATGAGCATGGAGACGGCAGCAAAAGCCTGAAACTGGGAGACTTTGGTTTGGCGACTGTGTTGGACGGACCTCTCTACACTGTTTGCGGGACCCCGACATATGTAGCACCAGAAATCATTGCAGAAACAGGGTAAGAGTTCAAATGACAACTTAGAGAAATGACACACAGGCCACAGCCAATATCTATGTATCACATCTTAATGCAGTAAGGCTGCAGGTTACAGATTTGTTTAGTAAATATTGTTTTTCTTAAGAGAATGCTGCTGCTCTGCATGTTTCCTTGTTTCTCTGTATCTTTGCCTCACGTCATTACATTCCTTGTCCTTGTGCAGGTATGGCCTTAAGGTGGACATCTGGGCAGCTGGAGTCATCACCTACATCCTGCTGTGTGGTTTCCCCCCCCTTCAGAGGGTAAGCTAACAGCTGGAGCTGCGCCACTAAGTGAAAATCCTCATTCACTTTAAATATACTAATGTCATATATGCCTCGAGCATTTAAATAGACACATTCACATGAAAATGTTTTTGTTTGCAGGAGCAGTGACGATCAGGAAGTGCTTTTCGATCAGATCCTAATGGGACAGCTAGAATTTCCTCTGCCGTACTGGGACAACGTGTCAGAGACAGCAATGGTGAATATATATGTTCATGTATTACAGGACATGATCTGTATGTGGCAACAAGTCCACATGTTGGAGGAAACTGACTTGACTCACCCAGTGTTTGTTTGCTTCTTAAGGAGCTGATTCGATCCATGCTGGAGGTGGAGGTGGATCAGAGATACACTGCCCTCCAGGTGCTCGAGCACCCTTGGGTCACTGTAAGTACAGGAACAATTGAGCTAACATGTATCGATTCGCGATAGTTTCCCATCAACTCAGATTGTTTTCCTCCCCTCTCTTTTTGCTCCATACAGGATGAGGGTCTTTGTGAGAACGATCATCAGTTGTCAGTAGCAGGGAAGATAAAAAAGCACTTCAACACCAATCCCAAGAGCAACGACACCACTGCAGGAGTGTCCGTCATTTCTGTAAGTCACCGCAACTAGAAACTATACAGTACCCATAAACCAACTGGTCTAACAGATTGTCAGGTTCATCTGTAGTTAAACTGGTTTATTGAAAGGTCTACAGTTTTCCTTTGATCCGACTCTCTGAGTAAAGTTTGGTTTGTTCTGTTTTCAAGTGAACTGGTGTTTAGTTTGATTGTGCTGGTTTCTCTTTGTATTCAGCTGGATGACAGCTTTTCTATGCAGAGATCTGGGTCGTTGGATTTCTACCAGCACCCGGCCATGTACTGGATAAGGTACGCCAGGTTTCCATAGAGACACAACCGAGTGGAAATCAAAATAAAGAGGAATATTGTCTATGAGACAGCTTCATGTCGTCCCTGCTCTTTGGTCGTTGTGCCCCTTCCTCGCTGTAAACATATATTTTGTGCAGCACATTCATCACGGTCATCTGCTTTTGCTTCCTTTGTTTTGTGTTTCCTGGAATGTGTGAATGGGGAACTGCAAGTCACTATTACAAATACCGTTTTGAATGTCTCAGAATTGAATATGTGGCGCATGTTTTACAATAAAGTAAACAACGTGATGTTGCTGAGGTTTTCTTTTTTAGTAACAGTCACTTTCTGTTTGCTCTATTTCTTTGTGAATGCTACCTTACAAAGAAATAACCCTGTGTGCCTGCTTGTTGCTTTCAGTGATTTGTGTATCAATGTCTGGCTGCCTCTACTGATACCCCTTGCTATATGAAGCTCCTCAACCCCTGTTGTGTATCATTGATTTGTGGAGGACCTAGAGGTTTTCTGATTCCAAATGTTCCTAGTTATAAGAGGAATTAATAACAGACCTGAATACATAAATAAGAGATGAATTCAATATATTACACAATGTAACAACTGTATTTACCTAGCTTAAAATCTTTGTTAAGAACAATATAAGAACTTTTTATGAATTGAATCAAAACTCTTCATTTATGGGTACATTTTCATTGAATTATTTGTTTATATATTCCATTATAAATGAGCAATTTGTTGCTTCCCTCTTCTGACTGTCCAATTAAATGATAACTTGCTGAACATAATCAAGGCTCTCCTGGTCCTCCATACTAAATGACTGTGCTCCTGGATCCTTACTTACATGGTTCTAATTCAATCTTCTCCTCTTCCTCCCTCGTTCAGGCCACCCCTCTTGATAAGGAGGGGCAGATTCTCCGACGAGGACGCCACCAGGATGTGAAGCTCGTGTCTTTGCAGATGATACCGACGGTGACAACAGTAAGAACATCAACAACGAAATCTCTACGGGCGGATCCTCCCAGTTGCCTCCCCGGCCGGCCCATGGCCCCTCCCTCTCTGACCCCTGACCCTTCCCCGAGCCCCAGCCTCCCTTCTGACTCTGATGACATCTCCATCAGCTCAGCCAGCACCGCCTGCTCGCCCTTCTAGAGAGGATGAGGAGGAGGAGGAGGAGGAGGAGGAAGAGGAAGAAGCGAGAAGGACAAATCCTCGTCCAGCTCCTCCCTCTATATGGAGGAGGAGGAAGAGGAGACGTCAGCTTTCTCTTATCTAAGGCTGGGGGTGAACAAGGGGAAACTGTGGAGGGATCAAAAACAACACATTTAGAGAACAGCTTTTTGCTCACCTGAATCCATCTTTCCAAACCTTGAGGAGAGATTGATCAAAGGGTGGAAAGATAGGGTAGTTTGGGAGAAAGACTTAAGAGGCAACAAGAAACAGGAGGAAGATGGAAAGAAATGAAAAACTTGTATTTATTTATTTTCAACGTTCTCTCATCCGAGCACATGTCGCAGAGCTCGAGGAGCGAGAAAGGGCGTTGACCTTTCAGTGATGATCTGGCCTCGACATGGAAACTTCATTATGGTGGAGCTGCTCGACAAGGCAATATGAGAATATGGACCAATGTTCATGTTTTATTGAACCTTATTTATTCATTCTTTATTCACTGCATTTTTATATGTATTTCCCTTTTGCATAAAGGATACCTTTTTGTTGACTAGGGGGAACGGAAATAATAGGAAAGTGTTAGAAGTAGAGCTCAGAAATGCTGAAGTAGGCTAACGTAGACTAATGTTGGAATATGAGCGCTACACTGTGTAGAGGAAGGAGTTGTTTTCTTACAAATGTGTTAAATATAGTGTTCGTAGAAAAAGATAAATGACTGATCATATTCAGTGCTATAATTCTGTGCTCCACACAGTATTGGCGTTGCCTTCCTGTAATGTTGGATTGTAGTATTACAGTTTACATTTTACACAGACTGCTATTAAGAAAATAATGGTGCATTTGATCCCTTCTTGTAATTTTGTTAACTGCTTTGTTCGATATATTGATACACAAAATTCAGCAGCATTCTGGTGCTTGTGTAGCAAACTCAATATGTTTTCCTCAATGCTCACAGATTCACAATCATTCTGAATTGATATCATATTAATCTTGATATTTTGTCATTTTCATGTACACATATAAAGCCTTGTTTACATTTTTTCTCTAACAAAGGCATATTTCATCCACATTTTCCAGCAGTAATGAAAGGTATAATTGTTTCAGCCTATGTGTACCATTTGAATGGGTTTGGAGGAGTGTTTTGTGGTAAATGTATACAATTAGCCGTTTATGAGGGTTGCCTATTTGCACAAAGTACTGCAGTCAAGGTGCAGTCAAACAGAAAGACGGTTTGGATGTCTGAGAACCAGCAATTCTGGAAAGCAGTGAAGTTAAAGGATGGTGGAGGATTTATTTAGCTCTGTAAAACCTCATTCATGGCTTCATTTATTTAGATGAAAGCATGACAGACATAGTAGCCTATTCTTATCAAAAGAATTCCGTTTCGTGAAGAAGTATTGTTTATAGGTTATGTAAATAACACAATTTCATTTATTTTGATAGTTCACAATACAGTATATTTCTTTACTAGCAGTAAGTCTATAAAAAAAACATTCATGTGTCAGCGAAGAAAAAAACCAACAAAGCGGAGATCATGATGATGAAATGGCACAGTACAGTTGAGTTAAAAAAGACCATTTCAACTTGAAGTTGTAGCGCCTGGATGGATCTACGCAGACACATCTAGAGAAGACAGCCATCTTTGCTTCCTGTCAGACACTGGGAATGATGTCACTTCCTTTGCAAAAGCAACTGATAAAGGAATTTCCAGTAACTGATGTGAGATAACAGAAAGGAGAAGCCAGAGGGGTGAGAGAAGTTACTTTAAACTTGTTTTTTTACTTAATTGTTTTTGACTTTTTACAGCTGATCTCACTGCAGTCGTCACACTTGTCTGTTTCTGTGTTTATAATCTCATCATCACATATACAGTAATGTGCCGGCATATTGACCAGATCAGTATACATTTGTTGTGCTGTTGGAATCAAGCACATGGGCACATGTGGTTTACCAAAGTACTCTCACTGCTGCACCACAGTATTACAATCTGTTGCAATACCAATACCTGTACCTCTGTTCAACAATGGTCTACCAATAGTAATAGTAATAATTAAAATATGTTTCAAAAACACATTGTCTGTATCTTTTTTTAAGCTTTAAATTAGTAGAATCTGTTTGGTTGGTGGGAGATTGTTTTACTTTTATCAGACAGGCAGTACACAACTCCTGCGGTGACGGCGGATTTATTCTTAATATTAAACTGTCAAATAAATGCACAGTTGAGTAAGATTTGTTTCTGTTATCTGTTATTTGATTATTTAAAAGTTGACTTAAAAACAAAACTACATAACAATATAAATGTTTGGTCCCCGAATGTCCTATATTCACTTCAAGATAAGAGCTTTCAAGTTTATGACAAAAAGATATATGGGGAACTTTTCACTGTGCTTGAGGTGTCAGCCTGTTACACAGCACATATGGCTCTCAGACAGCTGCCTGAGCTCTCCCTATGATCCTGCCAGTCACATAACCAGACCATGACTTTATATTTCTATTTTTACATCGAACACTGTTGCAAGTGGAAACATTGTAGGTCTGAGCACTTTCTGTGACACGTTGGTAATTGTAATATATCCCTGCATTGAGAAAAGCTGTCCACCTTTCTTAGCTTTAAGCCTTCTAAAATTATGATCTTTTTTTTAGTGTCATCCGTTCAGTGTTGGCCTCTTGTAGTTTGATGAGCCTGTGTAACATTGTTTCTCAAAGTACAGCCAGCGGGCCAGTGGCGGCCTTCAGAAATATTTTGTGTGGCCCATGATGGTAACATGAAATGCATGCATTATATTTTAGTCATCCACTGTCCATTTCTTACTTTCACTAGTCTTAATATCTTACATTTACTACACTACTCTACAGATTATGAATGACAGCTTAAAAAATACTGGTTGCATGGCAACTGGTCATACTAGTGCGCCACAAGAAATATCACAGTGTAAATTATGAAAATAAATAGTGCGTCACAGTAGTCATAGTATGGTATATCATAAAAAGTCATACAAAAGGTCCACGTATAGTAGGCCAGAAATTTGGAAAAACAATTGGAGCATGATATTATATAGTATATAAAAAAAGTCAGGGTATAGCTTGTCAAAAAATTGGAAAAAAGTAGTAGTAAAAAAGTCATATTGTATTTTGTGAAAGGTCATATTGTTTGTTTAAAATATACTAAAAAGCAATGTTGAAAAACATGAATAAAAGTCATAGTAAAGCATGTAGAAAGAAAGTCATAGTATATAGTACCGGTATGTTGAAAATACGTTTTATGTGTGTTGATCAATATGAAAAAAAGTCATTATGAAAGAATATTAAAAATGCCTACATTTGTTTTAGTTCATAATTCATAAAAAGTGATAGTATGGTATGTCATGAAACGTCATACAAAGGTCCATGTACAGTAGGTCAGAAAGCCATAGGGTAGCATGTCAGAAAACGAATGCAGAGCCATACAAAGAGATTGATATGGATCTCTTTATACTGTATGCCTCGAACAAATGGAGCATGCATTTGTTATTGTGGCCACCAGGGGTCACTAACAATTGTAACTAATGCAGCGAAGAAGAAAATCCATGTTATCGAAATGCAGCAAGAGCAGAGCAAGAGCAGCAGTGACAGGCTATCATTGTAACGTTAGAAGTCAAACAATTTCCCAAATGATGGGGTTTTCGCGATAAAGCGCTTTCGAGGCTGCACATGTGTAGACTCCGCAGTCTTACAATCCCCACAATGCTTTGCGCACGGAACAATTTCCAAATCTTTGGCGGAAATCGCGCTCCATTTAAGGCGGGGCCTCGCATATGACGCACACCTGCACGTCTGTTAGCCTGTTCCACAATTCTTCGTTTTCCGAGGCTATGAAGGATTCTTGCCTCGCTTCTGAAGCAACTGACTCGGAGGTACATGTGCTACCAAGCAAGCCTCCTCGACATTGAGAAACACCCTGTGTTGGCTAACTAAACTAACGTGAGCCGACCGCAAAGGGATGGTAGTGAGTTAGCTGGCTAGCTAGCTGCTGTTTTACATTACATTACATGGCACTTGTTAGACGCTTTTATCCAAAGCGATTTACATACTCAATACTGTGGACAGTCCCCACAGGAGCAATTTGGGGTGAAGTGTCTTGCCCAGGGACACAACGACATGCTGACTGCAGTGGGGTTTGAACCTGTGAATCCACTGTGCCACAGCCTCCCTTAAGCTGTTGCTTTACTGTATCTGTTACTGTATCTGTATCTGAACACCGCAATCATGAGCGAAGATGATCATTCAGCCTCTGCAAACAGAGACAGGGACTCCACTCTCCTGCTCACTAAAGACGGACAGAGGTACTACGTGAGTAAGAGCGGAGTAGTTGACAGCAGAAATGTGATAACTCCGCACGAACCGGACAACAACGCCTCCTCCTATGACATGGATGATATGGACGAAGAGAGCGATGTTCTGGACACTTCGGACCCCAGAGACAGCGCCGCCAGCCCGGAGGAACTGAACGACGATGAGACCTCGGAGGGGGACAGCGCCCCCAAACAGTGCACCTATGACGGCTGCACGGAGACCACCACGCAGGTGGCCAAGCAGCGGAAACCCTGGATGTGCAAAAAACACCGCAACAAGATGTACAAAGACAAGTACAAGAAGAAGAAGAATGATCAGGCCATGTCCACTGGAAAAATTGATGTAAGATTATCTTTAAGCCTTATAGCCCCACGGCCATAAAAAGCACTAAATCCAAGTTGTTATTATTATTATTGATTTTTAAATACCTAGATGCATTTAAATAGTTCCAGGGCTGTCTACCGCTTTAGTTGGTCGTCTCGAAAAAAGTCATAGTCAAAATACTGAAAAGGTGAAGAAGGTATAGAATGTTAAAAATATAATGCAAATGTCATAGTGTAGTAAGTTGAAAAGAAGTCATGGTATAGTATGGTTAAAAAAGGTAATATGTCGAAAAAATACAATAGTATATTGAAACATGAAAAAGTAATTATAGTATGTTGAAAAAAGTCATAGTATAGAATGTTAAAAATATTAATTTAAACCCATGCCTACATTGCAGTTACAATACCAGGTCTGAACAAATAATAGCTTTTGTTTGTCTGTTTGAATTGAATTAGGAGAACTCAGAGGAGCGGCCTGTATCAGTAAACAAACAGCGTCTGGGCGCCATGGGGGACCGGCCAACCAGACCCTCCCTCATAGAGCAGGTCCTCAACCAGAAGAGACTGGTGAGTCAATTTTGGTCAGATTGACTGGTTGTTGACATTTTGAAGGAAAATCCTTATACACATTTGAAAAATTGAGACTTTTCTTCAATAAAATATTCATATAAATTGGAATATGCACAACATTGGTGTACCCCTGCAACTCCAAAAAAAGACACAAGGCATTGCACATACATAAATGTTTGTTGTTGTGATTTGCTCTTGATTTCAAATGTGTGTCTGTGTGTCCTGTAGTCCCTGCTCAGAAGTCCAGAGGTGATCAGCTTCCTGCAGCAGCAGCAGAAGCTCCTGGCCTCACAGAGCCGCAGCCAGCCACAGCAGCAGTTCCCGGGCTGTTGACGCTGGGCAGTTTTACCTTATTGTGATGCATAGAGAACACTGAAAAAACACTGGTACTGCATTCGTAAATAGATAGTAACCATACACTGTATACATTGAAATCCCCAGCCAAACAGCCCTGCTTAAGAAAGAATAACAAGGGACATTTTAAACGCGTGATGAGACTGCTGGACTAAACTACATGAACTGATCTAAATCACTTGAAAGATATGCATTTCTAACCATGTCTGGTGCTATCTCTCTTCTCTTGTCATTTTAATTATCGTAGTAGCATTAATTATGAAGGCATTGTATTATAATTGTCCAGAGGCCTGTACTACGAATCCAGTTCAACATACCCTGGATATGTTTGAGTTACCCGGTTTACCTAATCCAAAACAAACGCGCTCTCGCTAAGCGGTCCTACGACGCTGGTTATCAACTCGGTAACTGAAGCCAGGGTTTCTCTGTCCGGCTGAGTGCGCGTTCACATGAAAGGGGCGGGGTTAGCAACATTTGACCAATCACAAACATGGAGAAGCGTACTGACAGCGCAGCGTCATACTTCCTGAATGAAAAGTGAACTATAATATTAGACATATGAAGAAGTGAAACTTTAAACATCCATGACTTAAACACTTTATCCAGGATAAAAGCAACATAGTTGCACCTGCAAGGTGAATACAGCTGGTAAAAAGTGTTTGAATGCCTACATTAACAGGTTTATGATATCACTGCCCCGTCTAAGACACGAGTGGATCTGACTTTAAGTGTTTCGTCAACTTAAAGGTAGGGTAGGTAAGAATGGAGAAACCAGCTCGAGTGCGCTAGAATTTGAAAGTACGCAGCCGAAGAAAATCTGCCCCTTCCTCCTTCAGACTTCCTTACAGAACCCCTCCTCCAACACACACGAACGTGCACATGACCAATGAGGTCATGAGATAAGTTTGTGCACGAGATGGAAGGCTGACAGGCAGGTAGGCCATCCAGTTATTTTAGCCGGGCTGGCTAAAATAATTGGTCGTGCTTTTTACAGCGCTACGGCTTCCACAGATGACATTTTTGTATGTATTTATTGTCAAATCATTTAATGTATTCATTGCTATCGGGATGTTAAGAGCATTCCATGGAATATAACAAAAAGTGTTTCTGAAGTGAATTACCTACCCCACCTTTAATGTGTTTCTTAAAATAATACTTCTGCATACAGTAGGCTATGTGACACTGTAAGGGTTGCACGGCCAGATACGGCTCAAGAAGCTGACTCAGATAAGGAAATATATGATACATTATGATGTGATATGAATGATAATGGGACACATCGACGTCTGCACTCAGAGTGCCGCGGACTGTACTTAATGTTACTTTGATCCGGTTACTTATGTTAACTTGTGGCAGATATTTAAGTAAGCTTTCTTAACGCTAATGTTATATTAGTAAGATTGCTCTGAAGATGGGAGGTGATCTATTCATTTTCACGTTCACACAGTCAGTTGATTTTTGCCGGCAGTTTTTCTGTATTTCCTTTATCCTGTAATATGACTTGATAGCTTTAAACTCTGCACACTGAGCTCTGATTGGTCAGCAGGCGGTGCTTTCACTGAGTTGATCTCTTATCCTGGAACCTAACCTGCTCCGGAGCAGGTTAGCCGCTCAGCATAAGTTACCATGGAGATCTACCCCGGTAAGAAGAGAACCAGCGTCGTAGGACCGGAAACCCAGAGTTTTCCCTGAAGTTCGCTAAGCGAAAATCCGGCTTCGTAGGACAGGCCTCAGTCCAAGTCATTCAGATGTAGAAACCTCAGGCCATCAAAATTACCCTGAGTTTAATTGTATTCTTCTGTCTTTTCTTTTTCATTACTGAAAAAAGAAGATTTCTTTGTTTTGTGTGATAATTGTTTTTTTCGCTAAGTTATTACTCGCTTTGTTTGTAATGTTTTTTTCTTGAAGTGTTGTTACATGGGACAATCATGTGTGTGATGCATGTCTGGAGCCTCCTTTTCGTTACATGTGGTTTTCAGGATTTGTTTTTAACCCAAGATTGTATATCCCTGTTTATCTGACGCTGTTGCACAAACAGTAAATTCTAACTGTACTGAAAGGAACACAAACCATGATTGGTGAGGGGAATAATTGTCATGCTAGCCCTGTTTTACTGTACTTTGTGTTTTAAGTTGAAGTGTGTATCCTGCTGTGAATATAGGAGTAAAATCATGACCCAAATGTAGCTAAATGTGATGCTTTGTTTAACAAGAGGGAAATAGCTGTATAAATGTGGATTCTTAAAGAAAAAATCAACTTTAATGGAACACGAGCAAACAGTACATGAAGTCACACATTATGCAACACATGGAAATACATTACATACAATCGTAATAACATTTACAACATGTAATAACAAGTCTTTGAGTACCTACAAATATATCCCACTTTTACTTGTAATGGAGTGCAGTTAACATCCCAATGAACACAAAGAGTGCTTTATCTGTCTTACCGAAATTAGGTAACACTTGATCATGTGCTGAAAATGTGTTCATGAAATCCAATCCATGGTAGGTTTCAGTTATGCGGCAGAGGTAACTGATATTTTAGATCAGGGGTGTCCAAACTTTTTTTACCGAGGGCCACATACAGACAAATATACGAAGGGCTGGGCCACTCACTAGAGGTGAGGTATACTGCCTCATAAGTTAAGTTATACGTTAGCAAAATCAATCAAATGTAGGTAAATGATGCTTAATCAGCCTACATCCCAGCTCTCCATAGGGTTTCAATTATTTTGTTGGCAGCTCATTCCTTAAAACAGGAGCCCCAGATCGCTTATCATAAGAGGAAATAGGAAGGGTTTATTTCAAGCTTATTATGAAAATAAGTGATTGGGCTTTTTTCTTATCAACTTAGATTTTTTAGAAAATGTTTTCAACTTTAATTGACTGAATTTATTTGAAAAGCGTGCTTATTAACACATGATTACTACAGTGTAATATCTGTTTTCATCTATACGTAAGAAGTACAATACAAGACAAGCACAAGTTTCATTTGAGGGCCATACTCCATTATACTTTTTTAATTTGTTGAGGGCCGATTCAAAATGGCCCGCGGTCCGCATTTGGCCCCCGGGCCGTAGTTTGGACAACGCTGTTTTAGACATTTAGATGTCAATAGAAGCGCCTTTGGACAGAAAACCCGGACAAAGCAGAACATACAGAATACACGACTACCTGTGTGAGAGACGGTATGTTATGACACTGAAGAGATGGGGTTGTGCGGGGAGCCCATCTGTGTGAGGACCTTGTCCAGCCACTGCAGGGGCCCGTGCAGATGTACCTCGATCCAGCAGGGGGTGCTGGTGACATCTTGCCGGTGGTATTCGGCACCCCAGCCCTGAGGAGAGGATATCCATAAATCTTTGCTGTGCATGCTGACAGTTCAGTTAATGATTAAAATGAATGGGTGCTAAGTGACCAAGTGGAATCCTTACTCATGTACAGGATTTGACAAGCTCAACATCACATTAAGTCCAAAATAACTGCATATTAAGTTACGTGAGAAACTTTTAGTAGATATCCAATACTTTGTATTAAGCCTTATTGATACCTATACGTACAACTGCAGGCAATAGGGTCACCTACTGCATTTCTGTGTCTTCATTTGGCTTATTCCCTACAGTTTAATTGATCAAGAAAAATCAGTACCGAAAGATTTGAGAAAGATCTAAATATGTCGAAAAAAAGTCAGTATGTCGAAAAAATACCATGAAAGGCTTGTTGAAAAAAGTCATGCAAAAAGTCACAGTATAGCATGTTGACATTTTCTTTTACAAAAGTATGTTGAAAAATATGAAAAAGTAATATTATGATGTGTTGAGAAATGTCCTCGTAAAGTATGTGAACAAATGTATTGTATAATTAATACAAAATTCATAGTCTAGTCTGTAGAGAAGTATAATTTTGATAATATCATGAAAACGTCATATGTTGGAAAAAAAGTCATATTATAGTTTACAAATAGGAACAAATCTCAAGTATAATTACAAATTCAATTACAATTAATTGAATGAGAAAGCTCAGTACCTTGACAAAGCTCATGCGGATGGTGCACATCTTGGTGAGCTCATAGACGACCTCAAAGCCGTGGTTGACCGATTGGGCGAGGAGCTGGGCAAACAGCTGGTTGTTGAAGATCTTGAGGCTGCAGCCGCTGGGGATCTTACACACAGTGGTGGTGTGGAAACCATGCTGGAAATTACAGTTGCGGCTCTGGACGAAGATACTGCTGTCGCTCAGACACTCTGCATACACCTCGCCGCCCACATAGTACAGGTGTAAACCTGACAGGAACGGAGAAGGAAAATCAAGTTACATCCAAATTGATTCACGACTTGCCTGTTGACAATAATACCCCGGTCCTTTTACTGTGGTCCAATCATGTCAAAAGCACAACAAACTGATTTTATCCAAGAAAACATGTAATGAAAGATTTACATATTCAATCACTTCGTTGAATACAGAAACTGTGTGTTTTTCAATGTTGCCAAACCACAAGGGCATCTATGCTTGTAAATGAGGAATGTCTGAAAAGTTTAATTAGTGTCTGTGATTTCAGGACCAACTTCTCTAAACCCTTTGTGACACCCCTATCATTCGAAACCACAGAATGCACATTTTACTGTAACACAGAGCAGCTTGATGTCTGTCCAACAAAGACAGGCTTTCTAAACTCTTTTACCATCAGGAAAAATAACATTAGCCTAAAGGATCCATCACAAGGATGCAAGCTGAGTCTCAAGTCTGAGGTAATTAGATTGCTTAAAAAAGAACACAAGAATATTAATCCATAAAATAAATTGCGTTGTGTGTGGATTTATCTTTGCAATCAACATCTCAGTTTTTGCTTTCACCCAAAGTATGATGGGCACAGTCCATACAAAGTCCATAATTCAAAGTCCTGGGCTGTGATATAAATAACCTTCACGATTGGTACAGCCTACCTTTGCCTATGTGCCTGCGTGTGTGTTCGATGGTGGAGTTGCGGTTGACATTGGATAGCAGGCCGAGGCAGAAGCGGTTCTTGTTGTTGGAAGGGTCTGTGAAGCCGTCCACCAAGACGCTGCGGGACGACGCGTGGAACGTCTCCCCAACCCGGTTGTTGAGCTCGTAGTAAGCAACCGAGCACCAGTACTCTGGCTCCTCATAACATACGGGCCTTAAATCTAAAAAAAGGAACACAAGAAAGGTTCACATTAAGGATGAAATATGCTATGATAAAGTGTCAGTCATACAAAATCTCTTAAATTAGACACATTTGTATAATCTCATGGTATACATTGCTTGTTACCTAGTATGCATAAATACTTTTAGATGGTATGCAATTCTATTTTCTTCTATTTTATCTAGTGTGAAGTTACCTGTGTGTGGAGCAGAGAATGTGAGTTTGAGTGTTTCTGTGGAGTTATTGGGCTTCACATCGTCTTGAGGGCTCGTCTCCATCATGCTGTACGGAGGTGGGGGAGTCTCGGCTGGAAAAGCACGTCACAAACACAAGAAAGTGGGAAAGTAATGAATGTTTACTCATCGGCGACTTGGATCTCCTGCCACAAAGTGTTCCCCTGCCACAAAAACGTCAACACTTAACGTTTTAGCTTGCTTGTTTTGATTCCTACCTGTGATGTGGTACGGACTGCCAGGCTCTGCTGAGCTGTTGGGGGAGTCGGGGTAGCTCTGTGAAGTGGGAGACTGGACGTGGGAGGAAGAAGGGGAGGAGGAGAAAGAGGGGCAGGGCAGCGCAGGGAAGGAGTCTGGGTAGGTGGCGTTCTGGGGCATGAGAGGCTCTGTGTGCAGGGAGGCGTTCCTGAACTTTGCCAGTAAACTGTGTTGAGGGTTGAACTCGCTGTGGCGCGGGACCAGAACAGGTGGAAGCACTGAGAGAGGGCGAGAGAAAAAGGTAGAGAGGGATCGAACAGAGACAGAGACAGAGAGAGAGAGAGAGCATGAGCCAGATGCTGTTATAAAAGATCATATTACTGTAAATCCTTTTGGCTTGGGAACACTGTATTAGATCAAATGTCCTGTCCCGGGTTTGGGAGCCCACAAAAGCCTTACTGTTATGATATTAAACCTCAACAATGATTACATTTTTGTTCAGCAGGCAGGAAAGATGTCCTGTGGTAATGTGTTTACCTGGGGTCTCCACGCGCCTGTAGTGGTACGGGTTGACGCAGATGTCCTTCTGCTTGGAGCCGAAAGCGAACTCGCAGCACTCCAACGCTTTCAGCTCGTGGTGGGACTGCAGGTCGGGCCAGCGCCACACCCTGCAGTAGATGACGTGGGGCAGCCCCTTCCTGTGGGACACCTGCAGCCTGCCGTCCAGAGAGCGAGGAATTGTCACGCACTTGCCTGCGGGATTAAAATGAAAAAGCAAGGAGTTGACTTGAGAAATGACAGATTGTGTTGCGTGCTAAAGATTTGGTATTTTTACATGAGTGCAAAAAAAGTATTTATCATGCATTTTGTAGGAGCCATTTATGTTTGACAGTATCTACAGTCAACTTAAAGGAAAATCTACAAGGTGAAAGAACACTATTGGCAGCAAAAAACCCTAGCTGTTTTATTTACTTTATGTCTATTATGTTACTACTTATACCAAATGTCTAGCTTAACCTGTTCTGATGGCCTTGCATTGTAAGTAACAATCCATGATTTTGTAAATCGGGTTTTTACATAAATGATTATCAGACAAGTAAAATGTCCCTATTAAGCTTTTAGTTATATGTTTTATTTTTACAGAGCAGCTACAAAATGTGAAACACCTACAAATGGATAATGTTATTATAACTACTAGAGGACCATAAAGAGAAAATAGACAACTGTAGGCATTACATTCAGAAACATAACATCTTTCCTTTGTAAATAATCTTAAGGCCCCTCATGTTTATATTTGGACCCACTGGATGGGGTCCTACCTCCAGATTGAGAATCACTGGACTAGACTACTACTGGATGTTTGACACTCACTAGGTTGCCCAGGGCAGCTGAGGGCTCTCTCCAGCTCCTCCATGGCCCCCTTCTTCTTCTTCAGTTTCTTCACTAGAGAATCCACAGCCTTTTCCGCCCACTTCTCCTCCTCATCCCCTTGTTTCCAGCCGAGCAGGCGCTTCACTGCCGGGCTGGTGAAGGAGAAGAGGGATGTAATGGAGGTAGAGGAGTTCATTATGAGATGAATGAATGGGTGCCGAGATGAGGTGTTGTATGCTGTCAGAGGGATGAGAGTTCCCCTGAGGACAGGAGGGACAAGGGCAAAGAAGTCGGGACCGAAGTATGGATCAAAGAGGGAGGGCGATAAGTCTGTGTAAACAGAGGCTGCTTTTTGTATCCCGCTGTTACTTCCGAGCAGCGCTGGAGGAGTTGAACTCCCCCCAGTGTGGCTAAATCTCCACTCTGTGTTGGCACAGAAAGGATCCGGTAGCTCTGGATCCGAAGCCTCCTGCAGGGAAGGTTATTCCTCACTCAGTCAGAGATCCAGGTCAAGTTTCAATCAACTGGCAAGAGAAGAGAGAGATAGTATTAACTGTTACTTTAGCTTAAACAGATGCAAGGTTGGAGAAAAAGTATAGTGGTTTTGTAGAATAGACGTTGGAGTTAGATTGTAAGGGAAATTCAGCCAGTAAAATCTAAGCCATTTGCAAAATCTACTCCAATATAACGCTCTGGGCATTAGAGGTGGAATTTCATGATAAGGAGTCTGCAGGACAATGATACACAGAGACCATGGCTGCATCAAACTGATATCCCACAAGCTGCTCAACAAGGCTATTATTCTCTGTGGAGAAACTCAAGCACCCAAAACTGTTTCAGAAAGTACAGGGCAAGATGGCCAAGCTCATTTCTAGATTCACCAACAATGAGGAATGTCCATTCTGGCCTCTGTTTCTATGATCATGCCACTGACGCCCAGGAGCCATACTGTCTGGCCAGAACACATCACAGGACAGGAGGGGGAGAGGAAGAGAGGGAGGGAGGCAGACAGGGAGGGAGGGAGGGAGGGAGAGAGCCAGGAGAAAGCTCTCCATGTCTTTATTTCTTCTAAACCACCTAGTTTTTAGATGGACAGAAAGAGACAACGAACGTAAATCTTTTCCACTATATTTAGATTACCCAATTAAAGTCAGCGAACACATGTGCGCTCATCACTCCAACAACACCATCTTAACACAACATCACTCAAAGTTTCCAAAAGTAATCATACAGAGAAGTCTGGGAAGTAAGTTTATTGTCATACTTGTTTTATCTCCAAAAACGTCCTGCAGTAACGACGTCTGTCCCAAAGTGTTTGTAGTAAATCAGTTTATAATCTCTCTTTCTGCTGTTGTTTGTTTGTGCCCATCTAATAAGAACCCACACGGGCAAATCGTTTATAAAACATAAACTGGAGACGCTTTCACAACAGCACCATATTATTTAAAAAAAATGCACAACATAACCACATTACAGGTTCCACTAAAATCCAAGACTCTCAAGATAGAACCAAACAAATGCACCAATGTTATAATAGTGAATCATCATATACCTACTTTTTGTCTCATAGGCTTATGTGACCTACACTGGTTTCCCGCAGTCAAAGCAAACAGCTGGCGTTTACAATGACAGCAAAGCGCAGGAGCTCGAGCGACATCAGTCTGCCGCTGGTGCTTTATGGAGCCTGGCGTCACCCAGTCTGCAGGCTCAGATAGGCTAATTACCTAATGCTTTATCACCAAGTCACCCCTTCCTAAAAAAGTAAACACGCCAGCTTCCTTCTACTAGGACTACAATGTGTCATTTTGCCCCTACAAAATCCAGGATCTGCCTCAACCCCTAGACACACATCGATCTTGGTACTCTACAATTTGTGATCAGGAGTTTGGCATCCAAAATCATCCTAGTGTAATTACATGTCCCTAAAGCTGTATTCAACAAGTCAAGTAGCCTACGTGTATTTAAAGAACCGGAATACACTTTTAGAAATATTATAAACGTATGATCAAAAAAGCAGTTTAGAACAATTCACTCTACCACTGATTTATTCTCAGATATGTTTCTAAACGCAGTTACGTCTGTCCTATGGGAATAATAGCCTACCTGAATATTAATTCGACAAAACGTTGCCAGACAGTTGGCTACCTTTGAGCAAACTTTTTGTAGTATAACACCCATAACAGTATTACACTTGTCAACAAATCCACAACAACACAGGAAATAAAAAAACTAATTTCAATTATGGAAATATAGCCTCCGATAAGTGTTTATTTACTCACCTCTGTTGTGATAACAAGTGTGGAGCAGACAGGCTCGCGCGTGTGGAGACTTCCCTGTCTGTAGTAGGTCGAGCAGACTGAAACAGCAAAGGTGTGTGTATGTGTGTGTGAGCGTGTGTTGATGTGGAAAGGGTCAAGTCACCCTTGATAGCATTGGCATCCAGTTAGACTTTTCAAAATAAGAGCGCTCTTGGCTAAATATAGCTTTTGTCAATAACGACAAAAAAAGTATCGAAGTCGATGCTTGTGTCATAAGCATAGTCTGTATATTGTAAAATGACATCATAGACCATACAAAATGGGAAAATAGCTTGTAACATGTAGGTCGATGACAATTAGAACAGTAAACAAGAAAATAATTGAGGTGCTTTAGCCATAAATTAAATTAACAGGATACTTACAAAGGATTTTACATAGATGGTGATGGTCAAATCTATATATTTTGTATACTTAAGATACAACATTTAAGGTAGGCTAAATGTAACATAATATCTTAATGTTTTCTGATCAATTGTTATGTTTAGAAATAAGTATGTAGGCTATTCATTGGGCTGCTATATTTTTGACTTCGTTTGAGTGAGCAAGAGGTCTAAAATGAACACAGTCACAATGCTGACTCCTTACCCAATTGGTTCTGTGGGTCAAGTATTGGATCTCCGCTTTTATTGTGAAGGTACTGTCTCGGTACTTCCCGGTATTGTGCTGGCAGTCTGCGGATGTATTGACGCAGCGCAGGTCTGGAGAGCCCGGAGCCTCCGCTCCTCAGAAGCCGAGCGCCACACAGCCTCGGCGGCGTCAGCCTGGCTGGAACCGCAGCGCCTGCATGAAAGATCCCTCCGCCTTCCCACTCCTGGAACTTTCCCAGGATTTCAGGCATTTCAGATCCAGGCCCCGCTGAGCCAGTCTCTCATCACAGCTGGCTCTAACTAACGCAGGCCGGGAAGAAAACAATCACACCTGTTCACCTTTCCGGACTACTCTTATGAATGGATAGACATCCCTGCAGAACAAATAATTAATCCATCTTGTTGTTGTTTGTGTTTTTCGTGCATTTGTGTTATACGGCTGTAACTTAAAGTTTACAGCAGGTTGCATTGTTTGCAAATTGTATATTAGATTGTACCTACTGGATGTTTAAATTAATTAAATACACTTTTGTATGCAAATGTGAAAATAATGACCAACTCCTAGAGGGATATAGGAAAATCTAACATTAAATCAGTATTCCGGATAAACGCCTATTACTTTCATGTGTACGCGCACATGCACACAGAATACACCTGTAGCCTATAACAACCAACATGAGGGGTCTTTCCCCCTCATCTGCCTTTGTCTCCGAGAGCTAAAACGTGTGGTGAAAACAGGCTTTATGTTTTCTTTCTTCCGCTTCTTAAAGTCGAGGTTGTTTCATCATCCATTGTTGGGAGCCGTACAGAGGTCTTTCTCATTGCGGATGGATACGATCCTTTATTGGGAGTGCCGTGTCTAGTCCAGTTAATGACGCAAGCCCGGCTGGCGACAGTGAGTCTACAAGTTTGACATTTTCAGTTTACAACAACTGCTGCGGAACGTAACAATACTCCCAACACGAAGGGAAGGACTCTGGGGATCCTGTCAAAAACCGTATGACTGTTTTTTTCCACCTAACACCAGGTGGATCATCAAAATGCACCAGCAGGATCAACTGTCCCACAAATAGGTGGGGGTCTGTCTGTCAGAGACAATTATTTCCAAAGGCTGGCGCGTGGACACACAGGGAAGACGCGAGGAGGTCCAAGGGCAAAACCAGGAGAAGTATAGACTGAGAGTTTTTTTCAAGGTGTACAACTGAACTGACAGGAAAACAGAACAGCCAAATAATGAGTGCTTCGGTTGGTATCACCCTCCCCACCTGTATTAAATAAGCTTGGAGTCTACTACAATAAACGCTCTTAATGTTTCTTTGACTTCAAGTTTTAAGAGTAGGCTATTGATTATCTATAGGCATCACAGTGCATATAGGACACAGATCAAAGAAGACCCTCCTCATGTACATCGTCACATTTGCCCTAGAGACTCCAGTGGCAGGAAACGAGAAAAGAGCAGCCAGATCATGTCCCCGTGCAGTCTGGTCGAAGAGGGCAGACAGACATGCACAAACAGGATGCTCTCCCCGGGACCCCGAGAGGCCCAAGAGACATCCGCAGCCGCACGAGGCCCGACCTCAGGCTCGCTTGCACAAGAGAAAAAGCATTATGAAGAACTTCATTTACTCAGACCGCAAAAACGCCTACTGGGCGCTCTCCAGAGACCCAGACACGTCTGCATGAGTTTTAGTAGACAGGAAAAGGAATTTATTTGGTGATAAATAATGCAATACAGGATTTCCCCACTCTTTTATCTTAAGGACAGGCCAAACTCATGACCATGCCCCCCCTTCTAGCAAATTGTTTTACGACTGATTCCAGGACTTTATCTCACGATTTGAGCTGTTAAATATCATTTAATAATGAATTATATAAACTGGGGGTGAGTCAGATACTGTAGATTTCTCATAATATTTATCAGCTATATTCCTGAGCCCATCTCCCTCTGAAGGATGCGTGATCATTTAGTGACAGTCACACTGTGCACCCTGTGATAAGATAATGCATCTATTTTTCTGTTGTATTTAGATATTACACACACAAGATAACAATAGTACGGGGAGGCTTTGTGTGTGTGACTGTGTAAACAATCAAAGCTGGCTTATACAAGATCAGAGCTCAAGTCAACAAACTCATTTTTTTAACAAACAAGTGACACTGCAATTAACCCCTTGAGATTTACGATTTGGAAAAAGCAGTCACATCATCTCCAGCACAGCTCTTGCTGGTCCAGAACTCTGCAGCAAAGCTCATACTCTCTGCTGACTTCATGTGACATTTGATTAAAGATTTATAGAACAGATTTCTGGCTTCATGGTAATTTTGCTTTTGCTGTTGTTGCTTCTTGATTCTCAAACAGTATCCCACAAGGTTTTATAGAAGCCAAATGAGTACCGTATTAAAATCACTATTTATTATTTTACGTTTTCTTCATTTATAACTTGCACAGTTTGGGTACTTAAACACATTTTATATATTGTTTTCTCTATCGTTAATAATTGTTCTATATGTATGAATCTTTGTATTTTTCCGACTGACTAACTTACTAAATGTTGCAGCTCACGGTTAGTAGGTTACTAATGATTATCAAATCATAAATCAATGACATGTTTTATTTTGGTTCAAGTCATTCAGTCCACACACCCACAATCCCTCCCTTTTGAAAATCGTATATAGTAACATTCATTCTACGTGTGAGAATAATAACACACAGATTACCTGATCCTTCACATTTCACAACTCTCTCTCACTTACAGCTGATTGGCCACAAAATAATCATTAAGTAACAAGGATCAGTCATACAGACGTTCTGTAAGCCGTGGGCAACAGAAAAGTGCATGTAACGGCGGCCATCATAAGCCAAAATCCACATTTTACAAAAGGCAGGAGAACTCACAACTGTGTCAAATGATGTGAAATACTGCTCTTTGTTCTCTGTGGTGAATTACAGTAATAATGCACACAGTTGTTGATCCCACCTCATCCATAGGTTTGATGGCACTCTCATAGGCCATCTCTAAGACACCAGGGCTTTTCTGATTGGCTAGTCAGACTTATGTGACTGCAGCTTCCAGGCTCCGGTGAGGTAACGCAGGCGAATGAAAACCAGATCCCGTCCCATCTGCAGCCAGCTCCAAAACGGGACCAGCTTGGACCCTGGTGGGGAGAACGCAAAGGCACTTCATTCTCAAGTGTACTTTGATATTTTAATGTGCTGACATTTACAATAATATATAACATTGAGCATCAGACACACAGTAACTGTCAGTCAAACAAGCAAAAGAGAACACAACTCAAAGAAAATATAACCACAGACACAAACGTCTATTTACTCTCAAGGGTTAATCCAAAGGAATAACTAAAACATACATACAAATAAGCCAATCACAGATTCACAAGAACATGCAGCAGATATATTTATAGATGGCACAGAGGACACATGTCCACATATTCCATGAAAATCCTACCTTCTATTTCAGTCCAGTTGACAGCCACCTCTGCTATGGGGATTTTAAAACACTGTGCAATATACAGAAGCTCCACATCAAAAGCCCTGAGGGAAGAAAGATAAAGGGGACAACAGAAGATGCATTAAGAATAAGGTTCATACAAAAAGGCTTTGGTGGTTTGTTGAATACGGTGAATCACTTTGTCTAAAGCAAGGTCACATCAGATAGACATGCTATAACTAGGGATGGGCTCATGAAGCTTTAGGGCTTTCTTGTTCTCTGTGCCAGCAAAGAGGGAATTATTTGGGGCTTCAAACACAGCACACACACTATGGTTTCTGGTGGTATTTAACCTTTATAGAAATTGAATGGGCCGCATCACAAGACCAGAGTGATTTTAAGGGTTGTAGTTGCATACGTGGACTTTAAAGGTTTCACATGCTTGCTTAGTATTTGTAAATCTGTAATGGTTGAGATTAGAATCAGAAGTGATTAATTACATGTAGATAGTATTGAACATCTACATCATATTGTACAAAAATTATTAAAGCATCATCTTGTTATTCTACATATAAAATATTTTGGCCGATACAAAACCTGAGCTGATATGTAACATTTCACATGAGCTGCAAAGTGATGTGATGGGAGAGTGCTGTTCCTTATATTAGGTTATTCATTATTACTTGGCATCAAAAAGATACACATTTACAGTATGTACTCATGCTTAAAGCAGACATTGCCATGGTTCTCAATTCATCTGTGCCCACCAAAAAACCTGTAAAACTTTTGAGATTTGAAATTCAGACATCAGTTATGCGGTATTCCTCATTTGATAGATAGACACAATGTATTGGAACAGTTCCCTTTACAAAAGTGAAACAGGTTTGGAGGTTTGGTATCATTTGCCCATCTCTTGTTATAACGTTTAACATCATAATTGCTTAAATGTTGGCAAAAAAAGTGTCTTATTGGTAATACATCTTATAGTTTCCAAGGACAGTGCACAAACAGCTCAACAGGTTGACTATTTTAACACAAAGCACACGACAGCTGTTAACATACTACACTGAGTAGAGAAGTGTACGAGTCCTTACCATCGCTCGATGTGGAGACAGGAGAAGGTCTTGAGTGCAGCCTCACGTGTGAAAAGCTTGAAGCCGCACTGTGTGTCCTTGATCCCTCTCACGCAAAAGAACCACACCAGGAAATGAAAGCCATACATCAGGAATGTGCGAAACATTGATCGCTGTGGCGGAGACAGTGGTTATTTCACAGTTAGATTGTTACAGTCTAAAAGAAACGACTAAAAAAGACAAACAAACAAATACCTGAGCTACTGAGACGTCCTCCAGGTGAGCTCTGGAACCACAGGAAATTGCCATGTTCTCCTAAATGTAAAGACAGGTATTTTATGGAGGGCAACACACTAAAGTGTGCAAGAAAGAACAAGAAAAATAAACAGCACCACACCGGTTTAGGGTCGAGGCCGTTAAGTCCAGCCTCCACTTTCTCAATATCACAAAACTTTGTGGCTCCATCAGCATCTGCCATCAGAATGAATTTCCCTCTGGAGCTCAGAGTTCCCTTAAAGAGAAATAACATGACAAAGACAAATCAAGAAAATGCACATGCTTTGTGCTGCTTTCAGAGGTAATGTAGTTACATTTCTCTCACCATGCGCACAGCTCCTCCTTTCCCCCTGTTGTTCACCAGAGTCAGGACTCGCACTTTATCAGAACCGTACTTCCTGCTGTACCGCAAAGCAACCTGGCAGGACGGCACAACAGATTGAAACAAATCTATATTGGTATCACTTTGAAATGTTGAGCAACAATGTATATCTTGGTAACATATTGACAAAAAAATGGATTAAATGTATCACCTCTGTGGTTTTGTCTTTGCTGCCATCGTCAACCACAATGACCTCATATGTGAAAGAAGATTCTTTTTTCTGCAGTAAGGAAATAACATGAAGGGTTTATTTCACAAAAGGAACTTTTAAAGTTGAATGCTGCCACCTATTGGTCACATCGAGAACATCAGATTCTTGTTATTGTGTCCTTTTTATCCAACTAGAATAAAGTACTGAGATTATTGTTTTTATTTAACAGTGCCTACATGAGGATGAACACATACCTGTCTGTTTTCAAGGTACTCTGTAGCTTCATCCAACATCACAGGCACTGTAATGACACACATTTACAGGGATATTATGCCATTAAAACCGCTCCTACCAGGGTGGTAGTTGAATGCTTTTCTAGTCAGTTGAGGTTACACAATTCATCTTTCAACACAATCTAAACTGTGTCTTTATTGGCTTTAGCTGGAGGAATTTTGAAGCAGCAAAAAAAGTAAAAGGTCTTTAAAAACAGACTTGTAATGTGCCCTATCCTATACATTCTATATGCATTCTGTCACTCTGCAGTGTAATGCAATAACATAGCTATTTCCCACTTAAATGAACATTACTTTTCAGCGACATCAGCAGGTAAGGTCAGTACTATGCTGATGGTCCTGAGAGAAAAGCAGGTGTTACCCTTATATATATACACTCTGCTGTATAACCCCCCACCCCCCTCCATAACTCACTTCGCAGTTCCTCGTTGTAGGCCGGGATCACCACAGAGAGATCCCGGGAATGGGGATCATGCAGGCTGGGAAAAGGCTCCTTCTCTCCTTTTGGGGTGAGGAAGTGTTTCTCCTTCTCATGGCGTGTCAGGTTCACCATCCCGCCAGTGATGTGTGCCAATATGAGTACCTGAAAAGGGAGAAATATGAGAATGGTATTCTTGTTACTATTGCTCTCAGGTACACTTTTTGTGTGTTTTAAACAGGGGTGGATTATTTTTTCAAAGTGAGTAGACAAGAGTTGTGACAATATCTAATATTTTAGAACATTATTGTGTGTAATATACAGTATACACATTAACTGTATGTCAACACTTCCACTAAAGTCTGTAATGTAGCAGAGGCCCAATGACAGACAACAAATTGTTTTTATGTTGTGCTTCAATTGTGTTCCTAACACATTGTTTTGTTACGTGCTAATTATAGTTTGTTTTATATTGCTTTATGTTATTTTCTCGAACTACATTTGAGAATTGTGTAGAAGTGGACTACTTGTGCTGCTTCTTTGGTGTATCTAAGTCAAGAGTGCCTCAAGAACTTCCTTTCAAGGATTATAATAAAAATGCAGAAAGCAAATTAAGTAACATATAATGCAGGGGGGTAGCAGAATACATATTTAGCTCAAAGACTTCCTGCATGACAAACATAAATAATGAAGGAAATTCACATACTTTCAGAGGGTGCAACAGCTTTTGCTTTACATAAAACAAGCTACCAAAGACCCAAAACATATTTTGTCAACAATTTGACTACTTACCACAATAAACACTAGAGCTGCCAAAGCGACCAAGGCTTCAACTATTTCACAGACACAATCCATTTCCCATAAGTTAGCCTGCAGCCTCTGACAGAACACCAGTCAAATTGGCTAGCTAAAAAAAAGCTAGCTTTCCTTCTCCTTGCTTTGCTTCGTGTCTTGCAGGCGGTCCTCTGACTTCTCGGGAGAAACAGGAAAGTACAAGCTTACGAGACCGTTTTGACGGTGAAAGTACAATATAAAAGAGCCCCTATATTTTCATTTCTCTTCTGGTAGTTCTGTAACTCCACTTCCAATCACAACTGAACACAGAGGCGGAAGTGACAGCCATTTCTCGACACATCATCATTTGGAGGCAAGAGAACACTGAGCAACCCTGTGACGCACACACTGCCCCCTGAGGAGAAACAACGTCCTAACATGCAAAAGATAGTCACGGCCAAAATAAAATAAAGTTATATCACTTTGGTATTTTGTATTTATTTGGTCTATTACAGCGTTATTTTTAAAAGACCTTAAATATGCACTTGAAGCCAACATCAGACATTGTTTTATAAATATATACATACAAAGGTCTCCTTTAGGAGCGTTTACAATTATGAGTGAAAAAAACAAAAGCGTATCAAATATATTAATTTCATAGTTAGAAACCTAATGGTAAAATCATTGTATAATTTCAGTAATCAAATAGGATGCCAAGAAAATATATAAATGATGTTTTGTCATACAAAGCTGATGTATTATGTTACTTGACAGTTGTCGGGTGACAATTACATATTTTGAAAAAGGGGTAGGATTAAAAAAGGAAAATTAAATAGCCTGCTTGTTGTAAATTGAATACATTAATTGGGAGTTTATTTACATCGGAATCGCATTTGACCGCAGGCATTCTACCCTTACCGGCTGCCGTAGTGTGTACAGCAAACCCACGTGGTTAATCAAAACATCATGGCGGCTGGTTTCAAGTAAGAAAGATTAGACTGTAGTTATTGCACTTAAAATAACACATTTTGTAGGTTTTATTTTACAACTCTTGTACCGCCAGACCATGTAAAGGATAATAAGCGAACTTTCAGACTTGTTAAAATGTTGAGTACTGGGTGCTAGTTAGCGCTGCAGTCGATACTCTGTGTACGGATGTTTGACTGCTGCATAGTTAGCTGTAATACAACAGAAGCAGTAACCTGTAATACATTTTATATCTCACTGCCTCTTGTAAATGATCTGATCTGATCACCGGATGTATTGTCAAATAACCACATTCTAAATGACAAGCGAATAAGCAGATCTGTCATTACGGATACATCCTTTTATAATAGTAATGTCTACTTAACTTTTCCCTCCTTATTGTACACTTCCAGGATTGCCGAGCCTCTGGAGTACCACAGGAGCTTTCTGGTGATTAAAACACGAACACACATTCAGCACATAGTTGACATAAGCTTGTGACTGGTTTCTATTTATTAGCAATCAGTGTCAGCAGCCATATAACATTTCAATGTTCCCTTTTCAGAAAGAAAACTGTCGACCTGATGGACGGGAGCTGTCTGAATTCAGAACAACAACACTAAACATAGGTGAGACAGTGGTGACTAAATGTACAGTATAATGAAGTATTGCTTTGTTTTTTCCAAGTCTAAGTCAAAATGAATTGTTCTGCTTTATTCAGGGTCCATAAGCACAGCAGATGGCTCAGCTCTGGTGAAAGTTGGAAACACAACAGTGATGTGTGGGATCAAAGTGGTAAATTATCATTAACACACTTTTTTTTATTAATCGGGACCAGGTGACCCAAATGTTCACGGTTTTCTTTTGTTTCTTCATTTGCAGGAGCTGACCAACCCTTTAGTGGAGGCACCTGGTAAAGGTTTCATCGGTGAGTGTGGTATGAATGTGTCAAGTGTTGATTTAAGGCAAGGTGTCAAATAAACAAACAAACATTTTCAACATTACTCTAGTCTAGCCATCAGGCTGCACAACCAAGGACTGTCCTCACTTAAAAACTACTCAGACATTTTTATATATTTGTTATAATTATTCATATCTCTTTATAAGTAAACAGCTTCACTTAATAATATATATTTGTTTAATGATATACTGTTTCTTACATTCTTTAATTTGTCTTTCCTTGTGTGAACTCTTACTTGTCCTATTCTGTGTTTCAATTTTATTCCTGTTGCTGGTCCAACACCTGAATTTCCCACATTGCCAGGATCAATAACAGTTAATCTTATATCTTATCTCATCCATTCAGTGCCCAACGTGGACCTGCCACCGCTGTGTTCATCCAGGTTTCGTCCGGGTCCACCAGGAGAACAGGCGCAGGCTGCCAGCCAGTTCATTGCTGATGTAATTGAAAGGTGCAACAGACTTAAAAACACATTTTAGTTTTCATTCTGGGCGATGATGCGGTTGGTGGGTTTAGTTTAGCAGAAACAGGATAGTTCCTACCTGAAACTGCTCACAACAAGTAACTGGACTATCTCCAACACTCAGGAATCTCATTTTAACAATCTAGATTGATAACTAACGCTACAAAAAAAAGGAACATTTGTATTTTTGATTGACTGTCCTTTTAATTACTTCTACTGCTTTAACTTACCTATGTTTTCTATGTGGGTGTTGCAGTTCTGAGGTGATACAAACAGAAGACCTGTGCATTGAAAGAGGAAAGGTAAATCAATGTATATATACTGGTGCTATTATATTGTGATTGTTGTAAATGTTGTCTCATTGGTTCTGCTCATTCTGGTTGTAGCTCTGCTGGGTGCTCTACTGTGACATGATGTGTGTGGACTACGATGGGAACGTGTTGGACGCTTGTATCATCGCCCTGCTGGCTGCCCTGAAGAACAGTATGTGCTGTAAAAAAATGAACTTACAATTATTCTGTTATATTTCTCTGCATACAAAGTAATTTGAACATGGTCAGTAATCTATGTCTTTCATTAAGTGTTAGTATTTAGTTCATTTCAGTATTAGGCTCATGCATACCCCATTTTTATTGCACCAATTCTTCATGGCCACAGAAATCTATGTTTTGTAAGCTTTCTATAGTTTATTAACTGTTTCCCTGCTCCTCACAGCAAAACTCCCAGAGGTCACCATCAACAAAGACACTGGAGCACCAGAAGTGAATTTAGAAAAGAGAAAGGGCCTGAATATTCACAAACATCCCGTCGGAGCCTCTTTTTGTGTCTTCGATGAGTAAGTGAATCATTTTCAGTGCGTAAAAACAGGATGAAAACCATATTGTGTGTTCGTACCTTTTGTAATCCTGACTCTCACTGTGCAGCTCCATACTAATCGTAGACCCCACAGCTGAGGAGGAGGGTTTGTCGACCTCTCACCTCACTGTGGTGACCGATGAGAAAGGGCGGCTCTGCGTCGTACACAAACCAGGTCAGAAACTCAGTCTGCTATGATTCACTTTCCTGTGCTAGTTCAACTTTCAGTAAATACACTTTCTTGTTTATGAACTTTTACAGTTTTACAGTTGATCCAGTACAGTTTTGGATTTATAATACAATTCAGTAGATTTCTTAGTCAGAAAATCTGAGAAATGAGCCATTACAAAGTATAGCTGATATATTTTATTTTCCTCCTTCAATAATCAGATTTAAAACTATTGGAAAGTTTTATAGACTACATTCCTACTCTTTTAATAGCTGGTTATTGCCATTGGACTAGAGATTCATGTAAAGTATATTTTAAAAGAAACCCTATGAAAACACCTTATAGATTTGTAGGTAACAGCCTGCTAAAATATTATCCATCTTCTAAACAATTTTTTTCACTTGCACCTCAAACAGTGAGGTCTTTGTTATGAATTTTTGATATAAGCCCTGTTTTGTTTCACAGTGCAATAAAAGTGCACTTTACCTCAACTGAAACTCTATAATCAGTGTTGGCTTACATTTGGCTAGCTTTGACTTGTGTGATGAGTTAAGTGAGACATTTCTTCCAATGCTACTTCAATTTGAAGTCCTCTCACTAAAAGAATGAGGACTGCATCCCAGTTACAACTGTACTCTTGTATGTAGATCAGCGCTAACAATCTTTCCCTCTGGCTCAGGTGGGACGCCGCTGTCGGCCGAGAAGCTGCAGGAGTGCATCGGCAGAGCAACCGCGCGACAGAGAGAGATCCAGAAACTCGTTGATAAAGTCATTCACAGTGTAAAGACAGCACAATAAAGAGCCTCAGACAATGCTTTGTATCTAAAAGCTGTATTTTCCACTGTCAATATATATTCTTTTTTTTTTCTTCTTTTTTTTTTTAATAACAATAAAACTGCTGACAAAGACTGCTTAAAAAATTATTTCTCAGTGTCCAGAAATATCTCACACACTCAGTGATGTCTCGTAAGAATACACTCATGGCTCCTGAACTAATTAAAAGGAAATGCCTTTTCAAAATGTGCTGTACAAAAGCAGGTACACCAGCTTGCATGTTCATCTTGATTCCTCGGATGAGCCCTGTGCCTGGATGGCTAACGGAAGAAAGACTTCCAACAGACTGAGAGGTAGAGAGCTGCCCCCAGGCACTACTCCAAGATCAGATTTGCATTTTCACATGTAATGGTAATATGGAGGATTTGGTGTCAATAAGCTCACTGGGATCCGTGCTTAAAGGGCAGTTTCTACCGAGGTCAACCAAGCAGAGTCAGGCAGGCTCATGAGGAATCCTCTGAGAATGTGCATTCATAATCCTTTCAGTCCCGGGGCCCCCATAGAGAAAAGTCTTCCTGAAGGGGCGATGTGTTATTGTGAAAGCCCGCCACCTATGAGAACCATCTTATTCTGTTTCATCTTAAAAAATATCAAAAAGGTTCTTTAAGTGTAGGGCTCCCTGTTCTAAAAACCCCATCCTCTATGGTGGACACAGTTTAGGTTCTCCAAAACCTCTGACAACCATTACAAACATATTTTGTCAGCTAGAAAAAGAGACACAGAAGGGACAAAAATGTCTTATTTTTTGTCTGCAATCTCCACAGTGAGGCAGACAAAGAGCACAGTATGGATCATTCACGTCCTTGTGTAGCTGGGGGAAGTCTTTTTTGTGTGATTTTAGTTCGTCATGACTTCTGGAGGGGCTGTGGCAAGCTCCTCTTCCTCTTACTTCTTGGTTGGTTGGCGGTATGTTGCCGTGGTGCTCCCACCTGAGGGGCCGCTGCTCCCATAGCCATTTGCTGCTGCTGCATTTGGTGCTGCAAGAATTGCAACTACACAGGGCAGGAGGAAAATGAAAAAAGAACATCAGAATAGATTTTAACACGTCTTTATAAGTGGCAATAAGGTATTCATAAGCGTCTGTAGCATGGTTAAGAATCCTTCACTGGAACTAGTATTGGGCA